CAGTTCTGCTCGCTTATGTGTCAAAAACAGCGTACAAAAATGAAGCGTTAGGAGGGTGGGGTGACCAGTGTGTGGATAATCCAGCACACACTAAGTGCGCATAGGCAGGGCCGTACATAGCGGGGGGGCGAAGGGGGCAGTTGCCCCCGCCAGGAAAACTAAATGTTTTTTTTCTAACATAGTGTCTGATTTTGCTGGGCTGTTTCTTGTAGCTATATTGGTCCGAAATCTCACGAAAACCGAGTTTGCCCCCGCAGACAAAAAATCCTAGGTACGGCCCTGATAGGAGAGAGCAATCGATCGGTTGTGCGCCTTTTTTTCAGTTAATTCTGCAGCATGCCATCTGGCTGGCATCCGCCTAGAGAGACAAGACTACAGTGATCCTCAGGGAGAAGGGCGTGTGCAATTGTCGAGCTTCAACTGCCCAGGTGCACGTTGGTTCGCCGCATTGTCAAAGAGGGCCATAATGTAGTTTGCGCATCGCGAACTTATCCTGGTTTGGAACTTGCGTATGTGCCTGCTCTTGCGCATTTTCGAACTCATTACAGAAGAAGCAGTGTAACGCGATGGAACTTTTATCTCCCCAGCCCCTGGTCCGTCCCCGACAGGTTCATTCCGTGCTTTGACACGCGCATAAACGTTCCAGCGGAGGTCCCCTCGTCGAAGCCAATCATAGACTGCGTAGCAGGAGCCTTTCTTGGAGGGGCGAAAGAAGAAATGTCGAAGACGCACGATGAGAAAAGGAGAGGAGGCCTCCTCCCCCAGTCGCGTGTTCCCCTCGCGAGGCCAAACAGCGCCTGCTTTAAAATTGCTAAAAAAGGTAAAGGAACCATATTTTACGTCGATAACACGTGATAGTAATAACTGATAAACTTGAGGTTGACGGTGCGCTAATTTTACCCCCACCCCATCTCTCGCAGTACCTCGCGCACCGAAGGTCGCGCACTAACCAACTGTGTCACCCTTGCTGATTGCTTGAGTTGAAATAGAATAATAACGATAATAATAATAATAACAATAATAATAATAATATAGTCAGAAACGCACATGCATAGAGTGTAATACATATCTAGCTGGAGTTTTGAAAACCGGGTTGCCAAGTCAAGTCCAGCACATTGCAGGCAATCTTTCAAAACTTAATTTGCTTAAAGCCGTGATGCTTTTAGTCAGGAGCCGATGCACAGACACAGGGCTATCAACTGGTATGCTTTTGGAGGTAGCCTGGTTAAATTGCAGGGGGGTGGGGTTGTTGTAAAGGTTGATGTATTTTCGCACTGTTGTGCAGTTTGTTTGTGCTGTTTGCATCCAAGCAATGACCCACTCGGTTGATAATGTTCCTAGTCAGCAAGCAGTTAATCTGGTGGTTGTAGGACTCGGTTCTGTTGAGCAGTGTTGGTTTAGATTGTTTTTGGGAGACCAGTTGCAGGGGCGGATCTAGGGGGAGGGTGCAGGGGGTGCCCCCCCCCCGAGATGACCTGCGGTTTTCTAATACAACCGGTGTTCTGCAAAAAAAAAAAACTGAACTATGTGGTTTACTGGTGTTGAAGTAGAGCAAGAGACGAGTGCACCCCCTCCTAAAAAAAATCCTGGATCAGCCCCTGAGTTGCAATGAAAAATGGGGTGAACTGGGGAAATGGCTTAGCAAACGATGACGCCAACATGACTGAAAATTGTCCCTTATAAAATGCCTTATTTTCGAGACTAATGAGGAAAGCTTCACTTTTGTTAACTTCAAGATGAACGATTCTATTAAATGGAAGCTCATGTATTCAAGAATTTATTTTTTGAGGTGAGATTTTACCTTTCAAGTAACAAGGGCCATTAAATTACCAATCAGTGCGAGAGACTGTCCTGTTTTAGAAGCCCGGTTTTCAAAAAAAACAGGTATATATATAGCTGTTACTTACAAACAACTGTCCCACGCTTTTGAACCCCATTCATAGCAGATAAATCAACGTTGGAGGTAAAAGATATTTTCATCATAATTTTTACCTGCCCTATGACTACAAAGTGCAATTGGTGGACAACTTAAGGTACCTTGCCTGCCGGCGGTGTTGCACTCACGATGTTCACCTGAACTCTGTGCTCGTGCATTTGGTGCTTGTACCAAACTCGTTTACAGTTAAACCAGGTCAAGCGTTCCCGTCGCTAACAAACTAATGAATTCATTCACGGAAAAATGATTTCATTTGTTGATTCAATAATCCATTCATAAAATGAACAATCCAATAGTCATATTTAGCCTCGATTCCATAATCTAATGTTGATTCGATTACTGTTTTCTGAAAAATTACACTTTCCACAAGTTGACCTCAGAATTTTGTTTTTTCCTCTTTTTTTTCTGAGAGTCGAGTGCTGGCGAGTTCTGAAGTTCAAACCCAAACAAACTGTTACATGTACGCCAGTTTGCTGCCAATAATCAGTGCAACAGACCTAGGCCTGACCTCTTAGAAAACACGACGGTCAAACTGAGGTCAGTGTATGTGCGGTGATTGGTGGATTTCGATCCTCGGCCTTTGTCAGTTTCTTTGCGTTTGCGGTCTGTCTATTCTAGCTGTTATTTTGATTAAAGGCAATGAAAAACGCAATCGTAAACGGCAGGAAAAGTGAACCAAATACGATTGAACACAACAGACAAGAATAAAGAACAGGTAGATTTTGTTCATAAACCAAATCAACATTTGATTATTGAATCGAGGTACAATTTGACCGTTGGATTATTCATTTTATGAATGGATTATTGAATCAACAAACGAAATCATTTTTCCATTAATGAATTCATTAGTTTGTTAGCGACGGGAACGCTTGACCTGGTTTGACTGTAAAACTAGTTCTCCATATTCGCACGCTGTAAATCAGGAATAATCACTGTGTGTCATGTTTACGTAACGCAATCGAGTCTAAAATGGCTCTTACACGTGACCTGTGTCATGTCGAGCGAGCGGGAATTTCGCTGTGGTTTCACTCTCAGTTTCATTGCAGAACAGTGAAGTCAAACAAGGACACAAGGTACAAACAAATAAATTGTAGACCTGATTATATACTAGAAAGGGTAGATATTTGGTGTTGATTTTGAAAACTTCGCTCTTTCATGATAAAAACTTGACCCAAATGTTTACATTGGCGAGGCGAGCTCAAATAATGTACTGTACCTGAAGGCCAGGACAAGAGTTCTTCATTCACGGCTGACAAAGTGGTACGAAACGTTCCACCTGATGTATATGAAGCATTATGTATCACTGTGGGACTTGAGATTGCTTAAATTGAACGTAATTTGGCTGAAACATTTGTTGGAGGATTGATTTGTGTCGCGGCGAACCTTTTATCTGTCAATTCAGAAAGGTCAAATTACACTTAAATGCTGCGTGCACTTTGCGTTCCCAAAAATTCATTTCATATGTTGCCCAGGGTTTTTGAAAGCATATTTTGAACGCTTAGAGATTGCTTTTTAATGTGGAATGTCTTTCTTTGCTTGAAGTCATGTATCAGATGTGATTTTAGACCTTTGAAATTTGACAATATTTTGCTCGCGGAAAATCCTTAAAATGTTGTAAATATTTAAAAATTCATAAAATATTCCAGTTGCAATCAATTCAAGAACATAACCGCTCAAAATGTGTATTAAAATACGTTTAATACGATAAGAAGCTTTTGGGGTTGAATGATATTTGAATTCGATTCAAATCGTAGTCTTTTCGTAGCCCGGTCTAGAGGCTCGAAAAGGCGGTCTGGCGGAGGCCGTCAATCGCCCGAAATGGGCATTCGCCGTATCGCCAAAATATTTATCCGATGAAACTAAAATTTGTATTTTCATAACTAGAATAGCGCGCTAGGGTGGTCTGCATAATATTTCGGGGATTTTTCAAAAGTTTCATTTTTCCCACCTCTGGTCGATATTTAATGACATCCGCTCTTAAAGTGCTACTGCGATCAATTTTCCTCCGTTTCATGCTTCAATATATTTATTCAAAATATTGCTGGTTTTCGGTGTCACGCCATTCAAAATAGATCCAAATGAAAATCAAAACTGTTCAATAGATAAAGTCCAGAATCTGGGAAATTAAAGGAGGTACATATACAACGACCCTCGCCAAGATTCAGGTCAGAGGAATATTTCGTAAACGAGATATCCGAAGACCTGTTTTACCCAAACGTATAGAGATTTTTACGGAGACGTCATGCTGGTGCTCACCTGGATGAGCTGCAACATGGCGGAGGGAAACGAAAAGAAACATCTGTTACCGAGTTTTGCTACAAAAGCGTGAATTTATTCTTCGAGAAACTCATTAACATTAAAGTAATACTTTTTCTAATACATGAACTGTTTCGATAGCAAAATTCCCTGAAATAAGTCATTTTTTTAACCTAGATGACAGCTTTCTTGGCCGTCATCTAAATGCCGCGTCACGCAAAAGCTTAGAAACTCAAGCGTACTCTATCACAAAACCAAGAACCCTTTTGAAGCGAAGATTTGTATGAAAATTACTTTTCAGCTGCTGTAATGCATCGTGAAAGTAAAATCTCGGTAAAATCGATAGTTTTTTTAGTTTGAAATTTAGTGACGTCATGTGAAAACCAACAATAGACTGTTTACACATGACGTCACGGTGGCCATATTGGTGTCCCAAAACAATGAAACGGCGGCCATGCCAATCCTGTGGGAGTTGAACTCTTCTCTTATGCAAATGTTTTCTTTTGTTCCAATGAATTTGCATAGATGCTGGCCACGTCAGTGAAAACACTCTATTAAATGAAATCTTCTGTTATAGGAGAGTTTCATTTGAGATTCAGTCTTGCTGGAGTCTTTTGCAAAAAAAGTGTACAATTCCACACCGCTTCCTCACCGGCATTCAACGCCTTGCGTGCATCAGTAAGGCACGTTTTAAATCCTATAGTCTAAGTAAGAGCAATGCACTATTACGGTTCAGGGTCTTAGAGCGGGTAATCGATCTCGTGCACAAGTCAATAAGATTGCCCTCGCCTCCTTTCATATGTTGCAGCCATAAAAAGTGGTTGGATTTTCATTACACTCGTTCATCTCTTCCTTACAACGAACTGCGGAAACATTCCTTGTGAGGTGAGAGTGAAGTTATGTTATATTCAGCAACTATTGAATGAGGCAGAGTAGGATGTGAAGAATTATGCAGATCGTTGAGGATCACTTATCCACCGAGGCAAAACGAAAGCCGAATTCTACATTTGTTTTCTTATTATTCATTCAAAACTTATTCTTCTAAACTTTGACCTATTTTTCGGCACAGTGAAGGATATACACTCATGTTTTTCTTGCAGATACTCCTCAAAGAGCAGATAATATGTTTTGCTTAATCTTGGATTTCAGCTATCTCATTTCCAATCACATATACCATCAAATCGACGGTATATACAAAATTAATTATAATAATTTATTCAAAATATTTCTACGTTTCTGATTGGCTAAAATCACACGCATAATTTATCATAAACAGCTACAGTTGACCAAATTTGGAAAAATCCATCACCCCCGTCTCTTTATCCGGCGTACCCCCCTCCCACCCCTGTTGGGGTAAAAATTCGAACACTGAGGTGGAATAAAGGGCTTATGAGACTTTTAAGCCTTACTGGAGACCCGTCTTCTTTGAACGCTGAGGAGAAAGTTAGCTGTTGTCTTAGAAAACTGAGATCACCATAAGGTATGTTTATTCCTTTTATTTTGCACAGAAAGGACGTAACAACAGTCAGGATGCGGATCGTTGTCGCCGTTTTCTTTTTGTTTTCCGTGGCAGTGGCATTCATACTAAATGAGAATCTCGCCCAGGAAGATCCGAACTCTCCCGCTGAAGAGCACGAGTTATTGAACGGCGAGGACGAAAATAAGCTGGGTTTATTAGATGACGAAAACGATGAACCGGGTTTGTCTGATGACGAGGACGGATTTGAGCCTGGTTTATCAGATCACAAGGAAGAAAATGAAGCTGGTTTATTGAATTACATGCAAAATAAAAAGGTTAGGACAGTTGTATGAGTCACTGGCCCCGATGCAAAGCATTGTAGCTTTTGAAGAAATATATAACAAATGCCCGAATACCCGGGGCGGAGGGTAAAGGCCGTCACTAAGGATGTTGTATATAAGCTTCTTGCCATAACTCGAAGGCTCGTAGCCTACAGGAAGCATACTATCACAGGTTTATTAAGGTCAACATTCTTATCTCCTTCACTTGTTTTGATCACATGTTCAATATCGGTGTGCGTGGTAGCTAAAGATTATAACTGGGTTGCTGATAATATAAAATACTTTTTTCTTAGGGTACGGATACGTAGATATTCGATCCATTCGTCTACCAAAAGAAAATGCATAATTTGAACTAGGGCTGGTCCGAAAATATGGAACATGTACCAGAATTTCCCAAAAAAATTTTTAGACAGCCAAAATTGAAACAGCCTTTTTTGATTTTAGCAAGAAACTAATGACCATCTTGTTGTCATCCAGATCAATGAATAGAATAAGCCTTAGTCAGTCACATGCTCAATAAAATTGATTAAATTTATAAAATATTTCCTCTCGAAGTGAGGTCTCTAATTTGTCGGAATTCGCGTCGCGCTTAGATCGCTTTATAGGTCGGTCGAGTCCAGTAGCTGCCATTTGGTGTCCGCGGGTTGCCTGCGAGCATCCTAGGTTTGTTTCTCCACACTTAAATTTAAATCGTTTAAAAATGTTGTTTTTTAAACGGTTGGTTGAGTTGAAATTTGTTCACACGATATACCACTGGCATAAATTAAGTATGTAGCTTCCCTGAACCCAGTGGCGAGGCTGACGTCCATCACGTTAAGAGTCCCGTGTTGCCACTTTTTTCATCTTGATTTCCACCGTTTACCTCTCTCCCCTAAACTTCGGAAGTTTCTGCGAGACACGCATTTCTATTTTTCGAATTAAACTAGTACTATGCACATTCCCTTTTTGTGGCGGGACATATCAGTCAATTTGCGTGGTCTGCCTCGGGTTTAAATTGATTTATCATTATTTTTTACTGATGAGCGTTATTTTGTAGGTTGAAAACAAAGAGGGACGCGCTGCTAATGAACACGACACTAATCTGAGATGCCCCTGTCTCCGTGTCTGTGGCAGCTGCAATTGCTGCTTTGTTTAGCTTTGGTAAGATCAAGAAAACACTACATTCACAATTGCATGGATATGGGATTTAAGATATATTACAGAAAGGAACTAATCTTCGTAGAGTGAAAAATGAAATATTAATAGAGATTCTTTGGCAATCGCAAAATTGAGGCTCCCATCGGCTGAATGTGTGGAGGCGTCTGGCCAAAAGGTTTGATCTGAAACACCAAAGGTCTGCGTGACAGCCTCTCCATCACGTTGTTTCCTTTAGACAAGAAATAGTGCTCCACTTTGTCTTTGTCCACCCAGGTGTAAGGGTTCCTGTGACATACTCCTGGGGGTAAACCTGCCATGAACTTGCGTCCCATCAGGGGTGGGGCGCGGGTGGGGGGATGAGAAATACTCCGACGTGCTTCATGCTATAGAAACTGGGAAAAGCCTCGGCATTGTGCGCCTCATAAGGTCTCTTTACGCCTTTATTACCATCAATGCATGCTTGAACAAACTGTTTTCAATGTTTCACTAACTACACTGTAAAAAATGAAGGCCCAGAATGAAGTCCTCATTTTTAAAGGAGCAGGACGCACTTTGTTGACCCTGTTTGTCTGTTTATCAAGTAATCACCTTACATTAAAAAAAATTATTTAAGTGATATTTTTTGTTGTGTTCATTTGCTTGAGTTACTGATTAATTTAATTTATTTCTTCCAACAGATACCATACCCAAATACGAGGGTAATAGTTTTTAGGACAGTCAACGTTGTTAGTTATTGAATTGAGGCGAATAATGGATGGTGTAATTCAAACGATTGTTGTATAAGAGTTAAAAACAAACTCAAATAAAGATCTGACAGACCATTATGGTGTAATTTATGCATGTAAATTGTTTTTAAGGATTAAAATCAAACTGATTGTCTCTATATCGAAGAGCCGGAGCATGATTTTAGGAACACATGACGGTTTATACCATGAAAAATACATGAATCATGGCATAGTGGAATGTGTACGATAGCCTCGTTTATAGTCTGTGTTACGATAGTCAATTACCTATTGATCGCATGGCCTGCGTAGCTGCCGGTGTGTTTGGCGAGAGCGGAAAAAAATGCATAAACGCGCGCGCTCGACAAACAACATCACCAGCTACACAGGCTATTGATCGACGCGTTTCTTCCGCGTACGTATTGTTGGTCTTCATCAGGCGATGATGTCGATTTACCTAGCCTATTAATACTGATCACCTTGGCTGCTAGTGTTTGGTGTATCGCTAACCCAACTTATGTTTTGTGGGTTTCGCTTCGAAGCATTTTATGAAACTGTTCCGTAAGGGGTCTGTTATGGTAACGATTGGTTGCTGTGTTGTCTGATGTAGGCATTAATGCTTCTGGAAGTCTCAGTTTCGGTAATGTAGTTCCGGTAGTGTATTGATACTCTGAATAGCCTATACTATGGGAGTACCAGTGAGGCCGATCCCGGTTAGAGAGGAACGTTCCTTCAATAAACTTTACCTTAATGCTGGTATTAGGCTCGAGTCATCTTAGTTTGTTCTCTTAAAATCCCAATTTGCGTGAGGTATATCGCAAGTAAAGTTCATGTTAATATGGTGTATAATACGGCGACCTAATACAGTGAAGCGTCGACTTTGAGAAAAGTGCGAGAGTCTAAAATTATGTAAATTATTGAAAGAAAAATAAGAATACAAATTTTTGTATAAACTTAGAAAACAGATCAGAAGAGCTTAAAAACTTTGGGTAAGCCCCTTTAGCTTCCAAGAACATTCGTAAAAACTAACAAAAGTAAATTGCAGTGTAATGCAATCATGCTCTAAGGCGATTCTATTAGCTTCTATTAAATTATATTGTTTATTCTTACCGCTCATAATTTCTCACGTCATTGCTTCAGGTGAAGAAAAGGAATTTTGCCTTATGATTTAGCAATTTTTGAAACCATTAGATGTATTCTTTAGGGCACGTTAGGACGAAATCCGAAGAAAAACCCTTCAACCATAGCTAGCCACGATCCAACACCTATCATTTTGTTGTCGTAAATATATAGCGTGTTGAACACAAACAACTAAAGAATTTCCACACACGTACGTTCATTATGTTGCTTTATGGTCAATCGTCTGCAAGAACAAAAGAGGCAAAGGGGTTAATTGATAAGAAGTTTTTAACTCTGATTCAATTCTTGAAGAAACAATATCGCCAAACAATGGGACGGATAGAACATTATCAGTCATTCAAGCAGTGTTGAACAACATTGGGCCAACACTGTGACGTATAGAAAAGCCTGGTTTATCCAAATTTGAAGATTTTTTTGTGGTGTAATTATACCATAATGAAAAAAGCAAAATTAAAGAAAGTTATGTTGTGATTGAGCCATCATCTCTGTTTCGTTAAAATGGTGTCGAGTATTGAAGAGGGTTTGAATTGCAGCGCTCTTCTCTTTTGGGTTTTCACAGTCTTCGGTTCGGTTCAAGATAAACACTGGCAATGTTAAAGTAGTAATTTATCAATGCGTTTTTGACGACTTTGGAATGCTACAAAAATTGGTGGTGATCAGTGAAGAGTTACTGATTTATGACAAAATCATAAGGCCACCAAGGCGCTACAGTCAAGGCCCAACAAAACACCATGCGAGGTTTCTGGATTGCGTTTGTACTGTGTGTACCAGTTCAGGCTTTGAATTGTAAGAAATCTTTTCATATTTTCTTTATAGTTTAAGACTTATTCTTTTTTAGGTATACAAAGGTGTCTCCATTTTCAAGTCTTATATCGTTAGTGCATACTTATTATTCAGCATTCCTGCTGTATCAATTCTTAGTAAAACTCCGGTGTCTTGATTGTCAACGAAAATTGATAAAAAGGAGTTTTTCGTTCACTTGATTATGTTTGTTAAACATGATTGATATACTCAAGACTTATCAGCTGTAGAATAACCTACTCTTTATTTTTGTACCCTCTGCATTAGTTAATTGAAATGCTGATACTAATTCCTCCACTAATGTTCAAAAATGGCCTAGGTTGACTAGAGTGTTTGGCCACGGTTATCCCTGTTATCTAAGACCATGTGTTTTTGAACTGGAGTAGTGTCAACTTCCGATCAGTCACTTTGCAAGTGGTCTCTCAGATTAAGACGTCCTACCTGACTAATTTAGGAGCAGAACAGAGAGACAAGATAATGGCTTACATCTTCTTAAGTTCAGGATGGTAACCAGGCATGGTAAACAGCTTAAGGATTCTGTCGAATATATCTGATAGAGACTTTCTGATATAGACTTGAATAGAAACTGGCTGCATCTTCAACAGTAAGCTATCCCCGGATAACTTACATCGGCACGACTGACGTCTGCATGCGACCAGTCTAAAAGAGGCAATATCACGAGAACGGTGTAAACTAAAGCCGATTGGCACGCCTTTGGATTTACAGATATGAATCTTTGCCCTCGTTTTTATTTAGGAACTTTTTTGTTTTTTATTTAGAAACTTTGCTGATTTTTTACCTAAATTATTTTAAAAAGTCATTCCTTCCGCTTTAGCTTCCGGTCTGGGATATCACCCAAAAATTAGCAAAGTTTATGATTTATTTTGGGGCTCTTTTTGAAGAGTGATTTCAAGTATCACCGGTCATGTATAATTGCTTCTCAATTTCATAAAATCCTCGCACTTGTCTGTAGTATGTGCGACCTGATCCGGTTTTAATCGGTCTCGTGTAACCTAGCTACTAAGTATCCAATATTGTGCTTACGTGTATATTCTTTACATGCAGAAGGAAACTGCCCCCCAGCTTGCCAATAGCCACTATACGGACTATATATAAGGAAATTCGCAATATGAACACATCATCAAAAGAGAAAGTTATGATCCCCAAAGAAAAATGCTTTGATCTTTTATCAAATTCGCTCAACTAATTTTTCAAGGAATTGTATAAAGATAGTATGGAGAATTTGTACAAGCATATTCTTGTGATGTAAAGAGTTAACAAGGAACTATCTCCGCTTGACAGGCGCGTGCGTGGGGAAAGCAAAAGCCATCAAAATAATTGGCAGAGGTAGAAATTAGAAAAGAAGCTGTTTACAAGCTCTTTCTATTATGCCCTTGAACGCTATTATTTGACATAATCAAGCAAGAATGCGTCGAATTTAGAGACAGTATTACCAAGAATTGAAATTAAATCTCTGTGCAGTTGTTGTTGGGCCAGCCAAAATCGTGACAGAGGGTAGCAATGTCAGCGCCTCTAAACCTAGAAAAGATCGAGGCTTGTGGAAATTTTATCTTTCGTTGACGTTCAATAGTTAAAGGCCAAAGGCTCATTTCCCTTATTTATAAAGCGGCCGTGGTCACACTCAACAGGCCTCAAAGATTTACTTTACCAATAAAGTACTACACAGAGGCATTGCAAACTTTAAGTTATAATACCAGTCAGCATTAAATACATTTGGTTATGACCATAAAATGCTCTGTAATTTTATTCTTTTTTTATTTTGATACAAGAAAAAGTAGAAAACGCTAGAAGATCAATTTTGTTATTTGATTTAAGGCGCGAGTATCCTATGTTTAACTGTGAGTTTGTATTAAACAGACAGTAGGCATTTCGCTTAATAACGGGTTTGGCTGAACGGAACTTGGATGATGTATTGTATAGTCTTCTAGTACTAAGTGTGATTATCTTTTAAAATAAATTTTAGTATCCAATGTTATATCTTTTTGTTTTTAGTCACTCTCAACGTTAAAGATCCGTCTTCAAGTGTTTCTCCACATATAACTGTATCAGATAGTTTAAGCGTGGCACATTCCATAAGTGCATATGAAGGTGGCGAAAGTGGCGACGGAAGCGGTGATGATACCGACGACGATTATAAAATGTCGCAAAGCAAAACTTCGGGGTTTATCAGCTCAAGCGTGTCATTTTCAACTAGTGAATACGTCAGTTTCTTAATGGCCTCCAGTGTACGGTTTTCACCATCAGCAGGGGTGCTTGTCACTGTATCGTCTTCTATTAGTCTTACCACGCCAACATCAACTAGGACGTCTTCGACTGTGTTGCCTTCGTACATATGGGGAGAAAGTGATGACGATGATGATAATGCTGATTATAGTGGTGAGGATAGTGGTGATGAAAGCGCTGACGGTGGAAAAGGCAAACGTGGAAAAAAAAGTGGTGATGGCAGTGGTGATGAAAGTGGTGACGGCAGTGGTGGTAAAAGTGGTGATGGCAGTGGTGACGATAGCGGTGACGAAAGTGGTGATGACAATAATGATAACACACCACCGACCAAGAGTTTGTCGGTGTCAGTTAGTTCTACTGTTTCAAGTTCAACAAGTCAATCTTTTAGTGCCTCACAATCAGCCAGCTTCAGTGCATCAACTTCGTCAAGTGTGTCTGTAAGTGTGTCACCGTCGACTAGTCCCAGCGCTTCGCCTTCTCCCAGTCAATCTACAAGTATCTTGCAGTCCATTAGCGTGAGCATTTCACCTTCAATAAGTGTGTCTCCTAGTGTCTCCGACTCTGTGAGCATCACCGTTTCGCCGTCAACAAGTGTGTCTCCTAGTGTCTCGGACTCTGTGAGTATCACCGTTTCACCGTCAACAAGTGTGTCTCCTAGTATCTCTGACTCTGTGAGCATCACCGTTTCGCCTTCAACAAGTGTGTCTCCTAGTGTCTCGGACTCTGTGACCATCACCGCTTCACCCTCAAAAAGTGTGTCTCCTAGTATCTCGGACTCTGTGAGCATCAGCATTTCACCCTCAACAAGCGTGTCTCCAAGTGTCTCGGACTCTGTGAGCATCAGCGTTTCATCTTCAACAAGTGTGTCTCCTAGTATCTCGGACTCTGTGAGCATCACCGTTTCGCCTTCAACAAGTCTGTCTACTAGTGTCTCGGACTCTGTGACCATCAGCGTTTCACCCTCAACAAGTGTGTCTCCTAGTATCTCGGACTCTGTGAGCATTAGCATTTCACCCTCAACAAGTGTGTCTCCAAGTGTTTCGGACTCTGTGAGCATCAGCGTTTCACCTTCAACAAGCTTGTCTCCTAGTATCTCGGACTCTGTGAGCATCAGTTTTTCATCTTCAACAAGTGTGTCTCCTAGTATCTCGGACTCTGTGAGCATCAGTTTTTCATCTTCAACAAGCTTGTCTATAAGTGTCTCAGACTCTGTTAGCATTAGCGTTTCACCCTCAACAAGCGTTTCTCCTAGTGTCTCGAACTCTGTAAGCATCACCGTCTCGCCTTCAACAAGTGTGTCTCCTAGTGTCTCGGACTCTGTGAGTATCAGCGTTTCACCCTCAACAAGTGTGTCTCCTAGTGTCTCGGACTCTGTGAGCATCAGTTTTTCATCTTCAACAAGCTTGTCTGTTAGTGTCTCGGACTCTGTTAGCGTCAGCGTTTCATCCTCAACAAGTGTGTCTCCTAGTGTATCAAACTCTCTGAGCATCAGCGTTTCACCCTCACCAAGTGTGTCTCCTAGTATCTCGGACTCTGTAAGCATCAGCGTTTCGCCTTCAACAAGTGTGTCTCCTAGTGTCTCGGACTCTGTGAGCATCACCGTTTCGCCTTCAACAAGTGTGTCTCCTAGTGTCTCGGACTCTGTGACCATCAGCGTTTCACCCTCAACAAGTGTGTCTCCTAGTATCTCTGACTCTGTGAGCATTAGCGTTTCACCCTCAACAAGTGTGTCTCCTAGTATCTCGGACTCTGTGAGCATCAGCGTTTCACCTTCAACAAGTGTGTCTCCTAGTATCTCGGACTCTGTGAGCATCAGTTTTTCATCTTCAACAAGTGTGTCTCCTAGTATCTCGGACTCTGTGAGCATCAGTTTTTCATCTTCAACAAGCTTGTCTATTAGTGTCTCGGACTCTGTTAGCATCAGCGTTTCACCTTCAACAAGCGTTTCTCCTAGTGTCTCGGACTCTGTAAGCATCACCGTTTCGCCTTCAACAAGTGTGTCTCCTAGTGTCTCGGACTCTGTGAGTATCAGCGTTTCACCTTCAACAAGTGTGTCTCCTAGTGTCTCGGACTCTGTGAGTATCAGCGTGTCACCTTCAACAAGTGTGTCTCCTAGTATCTCGGACTCTGTGAGCATCACTTTTTCATCTTCAACAAGCTTGTCTGTTAGTGTCTCGGACTCTGTTAGCATCAGCGTTTCACCCTCAACAAGCATGTCTCCTAGTGTCTCGGACTCTGTGAGCATCAGCGTTTCATCCTCAACAAGTGTGTCTCCTAGTGTATCAAACTCTCTGAGCATCAGCGTTTCACCCTCACCAAGTGTGTCTCTTAGTATCTCGGACTCTGTAAGCATCAGCGTTTCGCCTTCAACAAGTGTGTCTCCTAGTGTCTCGGACTCTGTGAGCATCACCGTTTCGCCTTCGACAAGTGTGTCTCCTAGTGTCTCGGACTCTGTGAGTATCAGCGTTTCATCTTCAACAAGTGTGTCTCCTAGTGTCTCCGACTCTGTGAGCATCAGCATTTCACCCTCAACAAGCGTGTCGCCTAGTGTCTCGGACTCGGTGAGCATCAGCGTTTCGCCCTCTACAAGTGTGTCTCCAAGTATCTCGGACTCTGTGAGCATCAGCGTTTCACCTTCAATAAGTGTGTCTCCTAGTGTCTCGGACTCTGTGAGCATCAGCGTTTCACCTTTAACAAGTTTGTCTCCTAGTGTCTCGGACTCTGTAAGCGTCAGCGTTTCACCTTCAACAAGTGTGTCTCCTAGTATCTCGGACTCTGTGAGCATCCGTTTTTCATCTTCAACAAGCTTGTCTGTTAGTGTTTCGGACTCTGTTAGTATTAGCGTTTCACCCTCAACAAGCGTGTCTCCTAGTGTCTCGGACTCTGTGAGCATCAGCGTTTCATCCTCAACAAGTGTGTCTCCCAGTGTATCAAACTCTCTGAGCATCAGCGTTTCACCCTCAACAAGTGTGTCTCCTAGTGTATCAAGCTCTCTGAGCATCAGCGTTTCACCCTCAACAAGTGTGTCTCCTAGTATCTCGGACTCTGTAAGCATCAGCGTTTCGCCTTCAACAAGTGTGTCTCCTAGTGTCTCGGACTCTGTGAGCATCACCGTTTCATCTTCAACAAGTGTGTCTCCTAGTGTCTCGGACTCTGTGAGCATCAGCATTTCACCCTCAACAAGCGTGTTGCCTAGTGTCTCGAACTCGGTGAGCATCAGCGTTTCGCCTTCTACAAGTGTGTCTCCTAGTGTCTCGGACTCTGTGAGCATCACCGTTTCATCTTCAACAAGTGTGTCTCCTAGTGTCTCGGACTCTGTGAGCATCAGCATTTCACCCTCAACAAGCGTGTCGCCTAGTGTCTCGAACTCGGTGAGCATCAGCGTTTCGCCTTCTACAAGTGTGTCTCCCAGTATCTCGGACTCTGTGAGCATCAGCGTTTCACCTTCAATAAGTGTGTCTCCTAGTATCTCGGACTCTGTGAGCATCAGCGTTTCACCTTCAACAAGTTTGTCTCCTAGTGTCTCGGACTCTGTAAGCGTCAGCGTTTCACCTTCAACAAGTGTGTCCCCTAGTATCTCGGACTCTGTGAGCATCAGTTTTTCATCTTCAACAAGCTTGTCTGTTAGTGTCTCGGACTCTGTTAGCATTAGCGTTTCACCCTCAACAAGCGTGTCTCCTAGTGTCTCGGACTCTGTGAGCATCAGCGTTTCACCCTCAACAAGTGTGTCTCCTAGTGTATCAAACTCTCTGAGCATCAGCGTTTCACCCTCAACAAGTGTGTCTCCTAGTGTATCAAACTCTCTGAGCATCAGCGTTTCACCCTCACCAAGTGTGTCTCCTAGTATCTCGGATTCTGTGAGCATAAGCGTTTCGCCTTCCACAAGTGTGTCACCTAGTGTCTCGGACTCTGTGAGCATCAGTGTTTCGCCTTCAACAAGTGTGACTCCTAGTGTCTCGGACTCTGTGAGTATCAGCGTTTCACCCTCAACAAGTGTGTCTCCTAGTGTATCAAACTCTCTGAGCATGAGCGTTTCACCCTCACCAAGTGTGTCTCCTAGTATCTCGGACTCGGTGAGCATCAGCGTTTCACCTTCCACAAGTGTGTCTCCTAGTGTCTCGGACTCTGTGAGCATCAGCGTTTCGCCTTCAACAAGTGTGTCTCCTAGTGTCTCGGACTCTGTGAGCATCAGTGTTTCGCCTTCAACAAGTGTGTCTCCTAGTGTCTCGGACTCTGTGAGCATCAGCGTTTCACCTTCAACAAGTGTGTCTCCTAGTGTCTCGGACTCTGTGAGAATCAGCGTTTCGCCTTCCACAAGTGTGTCTCCTAGTGTTTCGGACTCTGTGAGCATCAGCGTTTCGCCTTCCACAAGTGTGTCTTCGCCTTCTTCAAGTGTCTCGAACTCTTTAAGCCTCAGCGTGTCAGCTTCACCAAGTGTCTCAAGAGGTTCCTCATTCTCTATTAGTGTGAGCGACTCACAATCTACAACTGTGGCTGCAAGTGTCTTAGCCTCTATCATTGGTGACGGAAGTGGTGACGATAGTGGTGATGGCAGCGGTGATGATAGTGGTGATGGCAGTGGTGATGACAATGGTGATGGCAGCGCTGATGGCAGTGGTTATGATAGCGGTGATGGCAGTGGTAATTATAGTGGTGATAGCAGCGGTAGTGATAGTGGTGATGGAAGTGGTAATGATAGCGGTGATGGCAGCGGTAATGATAGTGGTGATGGAAGTGGTGATGATAGCGGTGATGATAGCGGTGATGATGATACGGGTAATGAGTCCACCAGTGGTAGTATCTCAGTACCCACAATTATTTCTTCAAGTACCGGTATGCCACTGTTTGTGCGTCCGACTGTTTTGCGAAACTCGAGCGAATCTACAATCCATTTGCCGTCGATAACAGTCAGTGCCTTATCAAGGGTGTCTTCCAGCGTCTTGCCAACTCCCAGTTTGAGTACCTCCAAGATTACGCCTGTAAGCCTTACACAATTTAAAACAAGCGCACCAGCCACCATTTCACCGTCTGTTGATTCAAACTTTCTAAAGTCTACCACTGCATCTCTACGCTTATTGCAGCCCGGTCATTCCAGCCTTTCAAAATCGAGAGTCTCAGCTACTTTCAGCGCAAGTGTTATACATCCAGTAACAGGTATAACATTCTTTATTCTTTGGCTAGATTTCATTTCTTTTACTCCTCTTGTCAACCGTGCCGTTTTGTTTTGTCAGATAGTTTCTTCGCATCCATCAGTATTGAGAGGTAGTTACTCAATTATCGCACATCGTTATTTTTGTTGACCCTTCAGCGAAGATATAAACGTAGAATTTTTCTAACCCATAATTTGTATCTGCATAAACTGCAGCAACGTGCAGAAAAGTGTTTGGTAACTCGTTACAGTCCATAGATTGAATCATAGCATGAATAGTGATAATTTAACCGAGTAGCGAGCGGGAAATTTAATTGAGTTAATGATAATAACATTCCTTCCTTTTTTCTTTTTTTTCATTTTTTTACTTGAAGAAACTCCATTTGACGACAATCTTTATCCTTACGGAAAGGGGCAGAATGATGACGAATTGAGTACCGAATCATCTTGCAGTATCGACAACCGCTGTCACAGGATAAGTGCAGGTCGTTTTGGATTTCCATTCTTCCAGGCGAGGCATTTCAAGTTACATGTAAGTATCAATGTGCAGCCTTCATTTGCCGTCTTGGAGAACGGAAAAGTCATAGTCATTTGGCATTTGTTTTAAATTACTCAATTTAATGGTGGATTCCGTCTTAAACTCTTATTACTTCTATTTTTGAGAGGGTAGTGTTTTTTGTTATGCGTTATTTCCATCCTTCAATCGTTGAAACACATTTTGTTTTAGGTCCATTGGTGACATCTAAGAATAAAACTTTCCTATAAAGGCAGATTGTTGCGATATACCCAATGGCTCCAAGTTTCGAAACGAGTACCGGTTCTAAGTACTAGGCTTCTACTATTTCTTAATTGGTTTTGGATGGTCTTACATCCAGGGAAGCTTATACGTAATATAATATTTTTAAAAATATAGTTTAGAAACAAGCTGATAACGACGGGTACGTTTTTATACTCCGAAAAGCGCACAGTTATATTTTTTCTCACATAGGCCTATATCGTCTGGGAGGACGAACGCTTAAAACTTAAATAGTTTCTCTGTTTGGAAATATACGAGTTATGGCTGGGTTATTTCAGTAAAAATTCAAAAAGTTCTTATTCTATCGTAGATATGCATAAATGGCAAAATACAACTGAACGATAGATGGAGTGTGCGCTGGCCTCAGAAGTTTGGTCCTTTCCGATGGTTGAGCGGTAAAGCGATTATCGCACCATTCTGGGCCAGGGTTGATGAGGATCTTGCCTTTAAAAATGGAAATTCGAAGGTTTATTATCAAGCGTACCAACAGAGCAGTCAAGGTCATCCTCAAAAAGAAATGATCCTCAGTTTGGCTTCTCAGGATGTTCAACGTTACACCACCGAAGAAAAATTTAAGAACTTTACAGCCACATGGGTCCTTGTTGTTACTTGGGTCAACCTCTGTCCTTACGTTAGTTGCACAGAGCTGTTGTGTCCGTGGGTAAGTCTATAACTGTTTTTTTTTTTTGACAGAAAAGCATCGCAGAACGGGCAGAAATAGCTATTTTCCTATTTCTTTGTCTCCGGTATCTACTCTCTTGTGTGTGTCTTTCTGACTGGTGTCGGAAATATTTGGATTTAGAAAATAAAGCGCCCATACCAACTGGTCTGTTGTAATATGAGCCGAGTTTTTACCACGGTCATGAGGGATTTTCTTCTTTGTTTCTGCGAGCTGATTTTGAGCAGTCGCTTCGTTGCCTACTAGGAAGTTCGTGGTCTATGGTTTTTTTTGTTGCCTTGTATTATGATTCTTATAGGTTTATTATACTAATCTGTTAATAAATAAATAAATAAATAAATAAATAAATACATTGAATCCCATTTGGCCCAAAAGTGTTACATTAGTAAAGAAATTTGATCTCACTTTTATTGCTATTAATGAATGTTATTTGGATGGGTGATTATTAACTTTTCAAGCAGTAGGAGGATCGCAGCTAACAGAGCTTTAAAAGAAATGGAACTGAAAACCTAGCTGGACTAAAGACAACACATTAGCCAGTCAGTCTTAACACTTGGTAGTTTTACAGGTCTACCTACAGCAATTTCTGGAATCTGATTGAACTAGTACTCTTTTTTTAACAGACTAACACTTTTCAAGCGGTCATCATCACCAACTGGTTTAATACCTTCTTAATGTACAACTATCCCCCTGGAGGAATCCAGTGGACGGTTCCAGCTCCGCCGTAAGTGTTTTTTGAAACAATTTTTGCAAGGATAACATTTTGGGAAGGAAATCCATCATTTAGTGGCGATTTCATTTTACTCCTAAACGAAGGTTTTTTCATCTCTCTTCGCTTTCCGCTTTTTCAAAGGCATCGATGAATGCTTTGTAACGGATAAAACTGTCCTGTGTTTCAAAATAGTATTGTAACGATTTGAATTTCACATACTAAAATTTTCATCAGAATCCTTGCTCTTTTTTATTATTTCCATGAAATGGTAGTGGAACACTAAGGATACTCTATAGATGATACTCTTTTGACATCATTTTACCAATTCTTGGATTGTTGCACGTATTTTCTGCAGATCAGAATATGATTACTGGACAGGCACGTATGGTCTCCCAGTAGCAGGCTGGATCGCAAGAGACAGCGAAAAGCTGAACATGGAAGGGTAAAATTCAAATCTTCTGATCATTTCTATTCACAAGAATATTAAATATTGAGATATGAGTATTAACAGGCACTGTTACTGTTGTTTAATACAGCTCGGGTACTGTGCTTGGAATGTACAACCTCGACAAAAGGAAAGGAAACACGGATTTGTTTGGAAGACATTTTTGGAGAATAGAGAATAGAGAACAAAAGGATGAAACTGAAAAGTGCTTTAGTTGGGTTTCTCTCCAACATGACATGGACGTTAGATCCTGGTATAATGGAACCATTGATGCAGATCAGCGTATGGCGTGTCCCTGTACCCTATTTCAAGCATTTCTGGACAGGGGACGATTCGTTCGGGACTGGAACTATCCTTGGCCGGATGTGTGCTTTAGGTCCAGAATCTTTAAATACTTCCCTTATGACAATGGCGACCTTGACGATTTAGTGGGCCTTAGGACGAACAAGCTGTGTTGCTACTCTACGATGAGGGACGACTTTGGCTCTCTTAAAATTGGACCTCCAGACGGAAGCAGGGTCATAGCTGATCCAATTTATCAGTATTACAAAGGGAACAATGACTATAGAGCATTTTATGCTGACAGTCAAGCTCATAAATTTTGCTGCGTTGACACCAATTTTTGTGATCTGTTTTACCTTTATCGACCAACTGATGACTGCAGTTTTTATAGATCGCCGCAGAGACGTAAGAGACTGTTCTTGTTTTTTATTGTTTAAACACAAGAAGGATCACGGGGCTAGACTAGATTTAGTTTTTATGTGATTGCTAAATGAGCATTAAATCAGTTAGCACATTTATATTAAAAATCTAATATACTTGTAACTATTTCCCCCGCAGTTGTGGCCTTTGGTCATTGAATTGACGAGTGGTCATTGAACTACTCGTGTGGTTATCGAAGCCTGTTGTGTGTTTATTGGGCTATTGTTTGGTTATTGAACTACTGTTTTGGCAAATGTACCTTTTTAGGTTACTCATTTCAGATTTCAAGACATGAGCTTTTCCCCCTTTTATGTTCATAACTTCGTTGTGCAGCATTTTCAATAGTGTTTTAATAAACGAAACAAAATAAAACTAGTAACAGCAAGTATACAACAGTGTTTTCAATTATTGATCGTACAATTGCTTTAAAAGTTTATCTTTGAATTTTAATTGTGTTGTAGGTTGGTTTTGGGGTGATCCTCATTTTAGAACTTTGGACGGTCGGAATTACACCTTCAATGGCCTTGGTGAATATGTGATGATCGATGCACAAAGTGGAACATTTCAACTACAAGCCAGGACAGGCCTTGCACAAGGAAATTCAACAACTGCAACAATTTTTAGTGCTGCAGCCGCTAAAGAAAAAGAAACTTGGACCGTTGAAGTTAAAGTAAAGAGAGGAGGTAATAACTTAGTTTGGACTGGTAACATAGGCAGAACCGTTTAGCCTGAGAAAATAGCCGACATTTCGCGACACCACATTGTTTTTCCCCACGAAAGGGTGTCTGACGAATGACTGCAGAAATTCCATACTGATGAGGTTCACTACTCAGATTTGGGTAGTGATTCTGATTGGTTGAAGCAAATTTCCTTCAAGACACGGTCAATCAGAAACGCTACCCAGATCTAGGTAGTGACACGTCATCATCATGGAATTTTTGCAATCGTCCTTCGGTCATCATTTCGAGGGAAACTAGTGGTGGGGTCACGAAATGTCTTCTCTTTTCTCAGATTGATAACACGTAGACAATGTTGTCTTGACAACTTGTATAACACCACATTGTGCCAAGTAACGAACAAACAAACTATTAAATTCACTAGAATCAAGGTCAAATTTCTATTTTGTCCACGTTGACGCAAAGGGCAACAAGACAACAATCCCTCCACCATCCATGCTGGCAAAATCTACGTATATGAAATGTGAACAACTTGACAGCAATTGAAGGAACAGTGTTTTAGACCCATCTCTTTCCTTGTGAACCTTTCTCCTCGAAGTGGTGTTGACTGCTTACCAAACACTGAATGATTCACTTACGCAGTTTTTATCTTCAGGTGGGATGAATATACGTTTTGGACACAAAATGTACAACAACTACGAAAATCTGACAGACCAAACTGTAGACGTTGGTGGAAACATCTCTGTCTCCAAACCGGAGGAAAACTGTATGGAAGTTTATTTTCCTTCAACTACTTCCGTGTTGTTCTGTGAAAAAAAGGGAATGCTGTCCATAGTCGTAACACCCACGAACGATTACAAAAATGCTACCAAAGGGCTGTTGGGAACTTGGAACGAAAACCCCGATGACGACTACACATTGCCTGATGGGACAATATTGTCTCCCACTTTATCCTCAAGAGAGATTCACTTTGGATTTGGCCTTAAGTGTAAGTATTGTGCAAAGAACTACAGTGTTTATCATAAGTTGTCTTACTTTGTTCAAGTGAAATTTGAACTCTGCTGTTGGCAATTCATTTACATGTAGCGCTAGGGTTGTCTGTGATATCAGGAAATTGTTGTCGTTTTATATTTTTAAGAGGTGTGTTCTCTTAGATTCGCTGGCGTGCTGGTTTCTCCTGAGCGCGGACATTCTCCTTTCCGAAATCTTACCTTTAGTATCCTTGTCGAGTTTTTTGAAGAAAATAAGTCTTGTTTGCTGGAATTAACCAATTATTTAAGATAAAAAAAATACATCATCATGTACCCGTATATAGAAGAGTTCTTAGCTTATTCAACGCATTTTTTTTCAGGGCAAATCAACCAAACACAATCTTTGTTCACTTATGCTCAAAATGAAAGCGTGGAGACCTTTGCAAAGTCTGATTTCGCACCCATGTTTGTGGAAGATATCACGTGGTATAACAACAGTGTGAGGGAATTGGCTGAAGCCCAGTGCGGAAATGATATTGAGTGCCTGTTTGATGCTGCAGCTACGAATGACGTGTCCATTGGCATAGTAACCAAAGACATAAATATTCAGTTAGTGAACGAGTCAAATACTCTTGGTAAGTTATTGAAAATGTGAAAGAAGATTATTTTAGAGGCTAGTAAATCAAAGTCTATTGGCAGCAACCATAACAGTTTTTCAGTAAAGTCTCTGAATTAGGAAGTAAGTTTGATTCTGTAGCATATTCAAGGAGGGACAAATAACTATTCGAGTAAACACGGTCCACTGTTTCACCTGTCGTTCACCTTTCGTCTTTCGTATCAGCTGTGTATCGGTGTTTTCTTTGCTTTCTCTAGTTTTTTTTTATTACAATTGTCTGTTTGTTTCTTTTGTATGTGTTTCCAGTTAGTATTTTGACCTTATATGTAGAATACTATTATAACTGGTATCCCACGTTATCGTTGTTTTCCCTCAGACAATTTTCCGCCCAAGATAGTTAATGCTCCAATTGAAATCAACGCAACACTTCACGAAACCGTACACCTGAACGTCACAGCCGAAGACAACGACACCATTAGCTTTCATGTCATCAACCGTCCTGCAGGCGCCACTGTCAAGCAAATTGGAAACGTACTCTATTTTACTTGGCATGTTACATCTTCACAAAAGGTAGCCGGTCTGAGAGCAATTTCTATCACTGCTAAAAGTAGCACTTTTTGATTGGAGTCCTGGGCAAATGCTTACTGTTTGAAGACCATTAGAAGACATATAATATACCTATTTAAAGAGTGAATAGAACATAACTCAAAACATAGGTTGAACAAGTGTTTCACGGTACGTCATATCCTCGAGAGTTGTGTAAAGAATTTGTCTCATCCTCCCTAATTGACCGACTAATAACACATTTAATAATACTAACACTTTTAACAAAAGATTGGACGGAAAATTGTACATTGTATAATGCAAAAAAAGGAAATGCAGACTAAGGAATCAGATCCTCGTGTAAATTAGGATGCAGACGCGGTATTAACCATCTTTAACCCTTGTTTAGTAATCTAATCTCTTTTTGTGCATATGTTTTAATTTCGCGTGAGTGGCCACGCATCTAAAGGGACGAAAAGCATCAATGAAACAGAAGTGTCTTAAATAATATCGAAGAAGAAATTTTAAATGAGGGTTATTATTATGGTTTCCTTAATTTGCCTTTCAGTTTAATTTGTCATTCGTTGCTGCTGATGAAAAGGGAGCGAGCACGACATGGAGTCCAACTATTAAAATGTGTGCCTGCAAGCACAGTGGACTGTGTGTGGAGCCAGAAGAGGGTGATACGGCCAACTCAGACATCAAATTTATTTACATGGGATGCGCATGTCAGGGAGGATACACGGGAAGATTCTGTGATAGCGAAATTGACGCCTGCGAGTTCAATGGTCAGCCGTGTTACGCAGGCGTAGCGTGCACTGATCTTCCCCCGCCAGCCAATGTCAGTGGATACACGTGTGGACCGTGTCCAACTGGTTACACTGGAAATGGAGCGCAGTGTGTTGGTGGGTGTAGCAATTGAATGATTAACTAGATATCTTTTTAAGTTTTGTAAAGTAGTATCAGTGTCCGACCGTATCGCGATTATCCAATAAAATAAACTAAAATTAAAATTAAAATTAAAAAATTAAAGGTTAGCATCAAGAAACAGTTAAGTTTTTAACTTATTAACATTACTGAACTTTTCCCAGACGTCAATGAGTGTCAGAGCATGGAAAACAACATTTGCGAACAGCTATGCTTCAATATACCGGGATCATTCTATTGTGGCTGTCGTGATGGGTACAACATTAATGCTGATGGCTACACTTGCGAAGGTGAGTAAGTTAATATTTATGCGTGCAATTAATATTGAACCTGTCGATTCAGACATTTTTCATATTTCTAACAAATCCACTGAATCGAAGTCAGCTGGGCATCCAGTTCACAAACGAACTCAAGCAAACTGACATAAATTAAGTTACCTGACAAACCGACAATTCAACTAAAAATAACGACCGTTATTAATAAGAAAAAAGACAGATCGAAACACACCACTTACATTTAATGTTTTCATATCCAATAACATCAGGGCTTTTAAGCCCTAATGACCAGTAACAACGCGAGTTTATTGACCAATCAGGTCAATAACCACAGTTTAATACAATCAACTGGCAAGATACAACTTACATTACTTTGACTTTGAAGTAGACTACCGCAAAAGTTTTCGAAACGTGATCAGTCACTCAGCAACTGTACTATTTAGGATTACACCCACCTGGACGATTATATTTGATATACCCCTTTTACTTAGTTTGTCATTGATTATTCAATTATGCACAGATATCAATGAATGCAAGACTTTAACTGCCAACTGCACACAACAGTGCATCAATACTCCAGGAAGCTATAATTGTTCATGTGACCAGTATTTTACAACAGATCCATCTGACTTGAGGAACTGCGTAGGTAGGTCTCACTTATCTGGCACTTTCTGACTATTTTTCATCTAGTTTTTTAGTAGCCAGGAGAGAATATTTTAAATGAACATGACATTTTTATTCCTGAAGAGCTCACTAAACTGGATTTCACATACTTTTCAAGGGTAAATGTATCTTCCAAATATGATTCAGTTTTACAAGGACTGTATGCGTGCATTTGATACTCATTGAGGATGAATAGCTGATTCATTGTAAGTTGTAAATGCGACACAAAAACGATAATAAAAGGATTAGTTTTATCGTTTGTCTCACGATTGTCACTTTCATATTGATCGCGACGGTTCGACCGCTCACTGCAGGTCTTCGTCAGGCGATACTGTAAATTTACTGAGTCGAACTTTTTGTATGTACCACCGTGGTTGTTGGTAATTGGTGTATCACAAACCTCGCTCATGGTTGGTGGGTTTCGATCCAAAGCATTGTTGGCATTGTGAGGGGAAGAAACTGATCCCGCGGTGGTTCGCTGCGGTAGAGGTCGGTTGTCATGTTGTCTGAGTGTAGGCATCCAAGCTTCAGGAATCGCAATTCCACTGATCCTGTTGATGTTGTCAGAGTGAAGTCTTATGTGGATAGACTCCTTAACTCTACGAGAATACCAGTGAGGGTCTCGGGCAATAAACTTAACTTCGTCCCAGACCGGATAATGACTGGTCTTATTTGCGTGTTCAGAAACGGCCGAGGTCTGAGCTCGTGAAAGCCGTATATCCCTATCGTGCTCCTTGCACGCACCTTCCTGTTTGGCCAATACACTTTGCCGCAGTCACAAAGAATCTTACACACTACTCCATCTTGTTTTCGTGGATCCACAGGATCCTTAGGTCGCACTGCTGTTGTAGGCAACGACGAAGTTGTTCGGATAAGCCTTTGATGTATGGCAGAACCGCTGTAGATTTAATTTCAGTTGCGGGTTCTTTGTCAGATGCCTGCCGGTTCTAGGATTTTGTGATGTTATACGTTGGCGAAACAGGAAGGTGTCCAGACATGAAGCACTAGTATTGTTGTCTGTGGTGTATGTGTATCAATAATTTATATTCGGGCTTGGCTAATCCTTAGTCTCCAGTGTATTTGATTTTTAGGTGTGTAATTGAGGGAGCATATACACAGCTAATTTGCTCACTATGTCTTCTCTCGCCAGCAACTATTCCTTGTTCTTCAGATCCTGGCTGTGACCAAATTTGTTTCACAGGAGCCAACAACCAATCAACTTGCGACTGTTCGGCTAAATACGAGTTACAGAGTGATGGAAAGACGTGCAAAGGTTTGAAGTGCAGCAACAGTTTATGTAACAGTTGATTACTATAATGACAAGTCGGTGTGAAAGGGTTCAGTGTGCCCAAAAGCTGACCTTTTCCTGAACCCTAAAAACCTTAGTTAGTTATTATAAATGTACGAAACGCTTCGTGGCTGAGTTAGTAAATAACTGCCTTATCCCCTGTGGAAAGATTCAGATACTGTTTTTGAAACTTGCAATTTGCCAATAAGTCGGGAATTTCGACCAGGGCAAGTCTTACCTACTACATAAATTGCAAAACCATACACGTTTTAAGGTTTTATAAGACAGTATTTTTGCTAAAAAACTCTGTGAGTATCAGCTAGTTAAGTATTGAATCTGAAGGCATAATTTTGAGAATTTGACACAAACAACATTCCCATGACTGCTTTGTTTTGTCACAGATATCGATGAGTGTGATCCGGAAAAACATGATCATCAATGCAGCCATGTTTGCAAAAATACCCCTGGAGGATATACTTGTTTGTGTCCAAAAGGATTCAAACTGAGCAAAAACGGATACAGCTGCGAAGGTATTTGTTGATATATAATTAATTAATTGCCTTTCGTTCAGTTCATTATAAAGGCCTATAATTGGCTTGTACAAAGACCTTAAAACTTTTGACAAGGTTACTTATTATCGAGAAAAACGTTCTGGATTCTTAAGCACTACGCGTATATACTGTGATCCCTTGATAGCAAGGATTGACAAAGAAAAACCTTTTCTCGATGGAGAGTTATATTGTATTAAATCTTAGATCCGACCCATTTATATTTTTGTGTTGCTAGATATTAATGAATGTGTAGATGAAGCCTTGTACAGCTGCCCGGACGAATTTCACGAGTGCGTCAACGATCTTGGTACTTACAGATGCGAATGTGGACCGAATCTTTACTTCATTGATGGGAAATGCAGAGGTACTTTGTCTGCGCGTCCGCGAAAACACAACAGTCTAGGTTTCAATACTGTTTTCAGTTTCCCTCTTCCTACTGCCAGATTTCTTTACCCTATAAGGAATAGAGATTAAGGAGAGAAAGAAGCGACTCGTTCTCGTAAACCTTGGCTTCCCTATAAACGACAAGGGGTCGCTCGATACTACCTTCTTTCGTAGCTGGCCACTCGTCATTAGTTGGAAGGGAATTGGCATGATGCTGTCTCTTTTTAAAGTGGCTTTAGCCTGTGAACGCAGACCTATTTCCGGTCGTTGCTTCTCTCCACCCAAAAGTAATATATCGGATGTCGAGAAGCCACGACCGGAAATACTGTAGCGGCTACGAACGCAGGGCCTGCGTTCGTGGCCGCTACAGTTACCCGAATCCAATATTTTTTGTTCCTTTTTTAAAGCAAATGATGGATATTGTTATGCATGTAAACTTAACTTTTTCTCAGACCTGTATGTTCTCCACGCCACATTTCAGTTTCTTTCCCTGATGTTTGTCATAATGTAGGGCTGGCGAAGAATGAGACAGTTCCTATTCCTGAGCTACCAAAACCACGAAACCCATCAGTGCAAGAAAGAGATCACGCAGTGCGGATATCCATTTTGCAACACAGCACTGTAAGAGGACGTAACCCAAAAAGGGTACTAAGGTTGTTTACCATTTACGGTTCGTTCATGGTGTGGGTAAATGGTTCGCAAAGTTGAAGAATGGTAAATTTAGTCCCGGAATCGCGTTTACCATTTGTACAAATCAGTTCCATTTACCGGAAAACGGCCGCGAAGGCCCGAAACTGATATCAAAGATGGCTTTGAAAAAATAGAACTCGAATTTCCGTTTAGAATATTCCATCCGGAAAAACAGGACTACCTTTTCAGATGTCCCGTTGCTCCTGGAAATTTTCTGTTGGGAAGACCCAAAAAAGTCGTGCCAGTGTTTCATTTACTTTCCAACCGGAATTCCCGGAAAATTTTTGTAAATGGTAAACAATCTATATCTTTGTCATTATTTCTAAACTCTCTGATGGTCTAATTCGATAGGAAAACCCTGGGCTGGTTTTTTTTTCAAAATTTCAACGTCAAGTTTTGCTTAACCGAAATCATGATAGTCACTCTGCACCTGCATTTTCATTAAAAGTTGCCTCTGATCCGGAATTTTGAAAAATCCAGGCCTAAAAGTCAAACGAATTCTTCGTCTTGTAACTGTTAATTGTCTGTTTAAAACAAGGAGAGGACAATTTCATATGTTTCTTGATTTCCTAACTGTCTACTTTTTTTCTTTCTTTATCAGTTTAAATGGGATTATACGACGGACAATTCTTTCAAAGTTGGAATGGCGTCTGTTGCAACAAAGTACTGCAATTTTAACAGTACATCATGCGCACTAAAAATTACAGGACAAGGAAGGTAAATAAATACTTTCACTGATGAGTGGGACGTAAATGAACCACTAGGTGCCAAGACGTTACCTATGACCCCACATACCCCTATTTTATGGGCTTTGAGGGAGGGATTGAGTAGGGACGACACCTCACATTGAACCCGTGTGTCTCCTACTGTCCCTTCCTCACTGGACGGGTTCCAGAAATGATGAACAAAATAAATAAACAATAGATGCTTTCGGTATCGCGTTGCTTTAAATGTTACATTTTTAGAATTTTTCTTGAAAGAAAAAGCTAACAGTTCAGTGGCCGCTGATTACTATTGTTAATCGTAGGTACTATACAAATGCACTTCATACTAAAATGGTGTTGTAAATTTAATTGTTCTTCTTTTTTCATGGTAATTGACCCTCAACGTCTCGCTTCCAGGTAAAGGTTCTTTTGAATTCCACAAATGAAACTGATTACCACAATTTTGGAATAAGGTGTATACCAAACTAAATATTAAGGGTGATCTGTTTTAGTTATTTATCTGATCGTTCATTCGCATGTTCTCTTAACAGATTCGCCCTTTACTCGTCTCAGCGAGTTCATCTGCTGCCTGGTTACCCTAACAATGCGTCAGGTACCATTTTGATTGCTTTTTATATACAGCAGCCACTGGGACTGTTCATCGGAAATCAATCAGTATTGCCTAGCAGAACATTACTGGACATTGTTCTGAAGCACAAATCAGAGATCGACACCGCTATTGGCGCAAATATATCCAAAGTGGAAGCTCTGTCCGGGCCGCTTTCAACGCCACCCGCCGATACCGATACTTTGAGACCCGTACAACTACCCAGCGACAAAGACGATTGGAAATGGATTATTGTTGGTGTTCTTGGTGGAGGATTAGTCTTACTATTACCTGTTGTGACGATTGTTATCGTTAAGCTTAGCAGGTAAGACGTGTATCGTTTGGGCTTTTATCAGGTCGTGATTGAGTAAGAGGGCTAACAGTAGGAAAAAGGCGGGGGGGGAGTGGAAGGCAAAGGAGAAATGGGAGAATAAGGGAGAACAAGGCTCTCTTTCCACCGCTCTCTCGGTCTTCCCCGAGAAGACAAGAGAACAGTCTGTTCGGGGGAGGAGCGCATTTCCCGAACAGCGGCTGGTAATCGAGCCCAGGGAAAAAGGTATTCCTTAGGAGCAGAATCCTGAGAAAGCGATTTATTATTGCTACAGTACAACTCCAATAACTCGAACAAATCTCCTTCCCTTTGGGTTAGTCATTTTTACCCGGTTAACTCAAACTTTGATAACTCGAATGTCCCTCTAAACCGAACTAAATTTCCATTCCCTTGATCAAAATTTCACTGAAATTTACTCCTATAACTCGAATTCTGGTTCTTGTATCTCCACTCGGGTACCATCCCAATAGCTCTTCGTGTTGTGTAACTGGTAAAAATACTACAACTGACGCTACAGAAATTTGATTTTAATTGGTGCAACCAACAGATGCAAAATCATGTTACCGTTTCTGATGAAACAGTGAAAATTGCACTGTGCTATACACTGAAGTTTTGAAACAGCAGTAAATATCAAAGTGTTAATAATTGTGGCAATCGAATACACAATCGATCCAGATAACTCGAACTTTTTTTCTTTTCCCTTCAGCGTCCGAGTTACCGGAGTTTACTGCAGTTACTTAGTATTGACCAATAAAATTTTTGGTGGTAGTAATTTAAACGACATAATTTAAAAAGTAAAATAAGAGTTCTGATGTTAAATCAACTGACTGTGGTTTACCGGGGAAATACTGGGTTTCTCTTATTAGTAAATCAGTCACCTCACACTGCCACTGATTTTATTTCAGCAAGAAAAAGGTATTACCACAACGACATTCAAGGAAATGGCCAGTCTGGAATTACTATCTTGAGGAAGACGCAATAACGGAAAACAACATGAATGTTGAAATAATTTCCAACAGCGCAGCCTTGAACGAAAAGTACAGCAGTCAGTCATGATAGTTGAGTAATATATGGTTTGATGTCAGTTCACCTTTGAGGTGCATCTGAAGGATTGCCTACGGCCTGTTTCAAACATCGTGCTGGCTGGCGTGCCGGACTAAATTGATCGAATTAATTTCGACTTTAGCACGGCGGTAGCGCGACGTTTGAAATCAAGTCGTCGTGCTAGTGTCGTGCTGCAGTCGAGCTACAGTCGAGCCAGCTTAGCACGGCAGTAGCACGACGTTTGAAACGGGCCTAAAAAAGTTGCCTAAGTGATTTAAGAAATTGTTAAAGTTCATGAAAAGATGCAGCATAGAAGCTTCACTACTAGCCGGGACATGCCGGAAATCAATGTAACTGTTCACCGTATTATTTGGAGTATTTTTTCTCTTTTCGGCAAAGACAACTAAAAAACTAAAAAATCAATTGGATTTTCTTCATTTCATGTACATAACCTGTTGATATTTTTTTCCTAATTTTGTAGTGAAATAAAATATGTATCTTGAATTTTGCTTCACCTGTTTTCAATGAAGTCTATCTATCTCGGTTTGTTGAGGTTGCTCGATTGCTGCCGCTTCAACCGTCAAAACAACAACTGTTTTCGTTGGCAAACTATGGCTATTTTAGTAAGTATATAGTGATGTAGCTACGGTGTAGCCTGGAGAAACCTTTTAACAAACTCATAATTAAGAACTTAAACCTTGTCTTCACGTAAGCATAAGCAAAGCATATATAATATAAATCTTACGTGATACTGTTACGGTCCAGATGTATAGACCTTTCAGTGAAGACCGTCGGTCTTTTTGAATTAAGTTTCCGCTTTTTCCTCAATTCTTTCTTCGCTTTCTTTTCTGTAACGGTAGATTGACCGTTGGTTGAACTATCCGGCATTCGACATAGGCGCGAACGGTTTCGCGTTTTCTGACTACAATTTAATCAATGCGTCAATGTTTAACTGTTATGATCTTCTTTGCAATATCATGAATATTACACTGTAATAAATCTTTCTCAAATTAGCTGTAAAAAACGGACCAGCACAGCGCAGTCGCGGAAAATTTTAGCGTTATCCTTTTAATCCAACACGGCGGGAAATTGAGAGGATTACGTGACGATCTTTGTGATTACGTCTTTTTTGTTGTGCATGTATCTGGCTAGAATTCAGAGCTGCGTAAAGTATCAAAACAAGAACAAGCCTATGCTTATCAGTCCATATGTCAGGACTATCCACAAAAGTGCACAAGGTTTTTTTTGGTTTTGTGTCGATTTGCCGTTTTTGCTAATCTGTGCGTATAGAAACAAAATCCCAAAAATGTTAATCTTTTGTGACTTTCAAGTATTGTCACTAATTTATTCCATTTTCATTAATTGACATTCTTATTAGAGGTACTCGATATTTACATGAGATATACAGTGTAAATCTGTCCCCGTGGGAAAACAACGGTGTAGTCCTTACACTCATTGCTTAAAATTGATGGTCACTGATAAATGTTCAGTTGTTACCCTGAACATTTAAAGAAGTGAAAAGAAAACACACGTCACTGTAATTGAAGCAGTGCATTTGGAAATGTCGTCATGACTAAATTTTCAGTCAATCGAGGCAAATCAACAGAAGTCATCCAAGTGTCACCGATGACTTCATATACAGACAAAGTCCGCAGGTGAAGAAATTATGGTCCACAGCGAAATTATGGCCAAACAAAACCGACTGGGGGCATTGTGTTTGGTCTTTCTTCTACGACTTGTACCTGTTGCTGTGCAAGGTAAGTGTCTTTGTGTCGAACTCGTCTACAGTCAATTGGTACTTTTGCCTTGTTGAGAACAGCATTTGAATCTCGGATAATTACACTGACGTTAAGTTACCGGACAGTCACATGTTTTGGTTCCAACTTAAAATTTTTTCTTATTCAAGTTAACATAATTAAAGATTAAATTAAGCAAACTTTGAATGCACGGCTTAAACAACTACAAGCTGGTCATTTCTTTGTTACATTATTTTTTTTGACACTTTTGCTTAGATTACGCTCTTTCTGTTGCAAATCAATCGAAATTCTTTAGCTTTTCCATTGTACGTGCGGCTGCCATGGATATGAAAGTCCGTTCCGTCTGTCAAAATATTTACTTGGGCTTGAATTTTACTAGGGTCAAACCACGTTAATACAGACACTGAGGGGGGCAGAGAAAATGTCCGTATTAAGAGGGTTGAATTTAGAGCAGATGTAAGGGCTTTCTTTCCCTAGGGACAAAGCAAACTGTCCGTTGTTATGAGGTGTCCATATTAAGCGAGTGTCCGTAAGGCTGGGTTTGTCTGTAAACTTAATGTAAATACCTGTTGAATCAACAAAGCTAAATCTTTTAATTTCAAGAAATTCTTTGTCGTACTTGGCTAGTCCCAAGAGTATTCAAAATAATGGAGATGAATGCAATCATAAAAACCGCGCTACACTCGTTCATATTTCCGGATTGAACTGAACCTTAGCACGCCAATAATCAGATGCCTCCAGTATCAAAGGCGCGTGATTTTTAGTAACTTCCGTGCTGCAAACTTTATAAGAACGATTTTAACATTTCATTTTCTAGGACGTTTTCCCCACATAACTACAGACCTATTAACTATCAAGAGTGGCGAAAAATCAAGAATCAATCAATCCTTTTGATTTTAAGTAATTTGTGATAAAGTAAAATTTGACGTTACTACGTTTCTCCATTCGGTTCCTGATATGGTTGCGATAAGATGTCAGAATGACTCATCATTGTTTCTGATTTCGTTAGGACCGTGGGATTAGGTAACACTTGGTAATATGCGGTTTGTGACAATTAATATTGAACTTTTTCACCAAATAAGTGAATTCACGGATTGAGTGTGAATCATAAGTGTCGGCAAAATATTTTTATACAGTACTATAGCAAGTACTTTCAGAAATGGCTGTATTCACAGGCCACTTTCAGGGAGGTGTTGTTTGTTTGTTTCTTTTTCACATTCAGGCTTTTCGAAACTACTTTTGGAAAGTGATCGAATATCATAACAAATGACGAAATAAGTCTCTTAACATATCGTAACGTAAAATGTGAAATATCAATGATATTTCATGCCCACCACACTGACTTGAATAAACATCTTTGTTGGCTTTCACGGCTTTCTTTGGCTTGTCATGGTTAACCCCTTGAGAGTGATCAAAATAAATTTTTTTCTTGTGGTTAACCAGCCCAATCAAATACAAAAGTTGTGAGGAAAAAGGAGAAGTTTCCTTCTTTAGTTATTTTTCCGTGTGAAGAACTATAGGTGATATTGGATACCAGTGCAATATAATTAAACGCGGCTCGGTAGATATTCCCCCAATATTCATCACGATTTCTTAGAATAACTTTTAATTACTGTATTCCGAGCGTAGCGACTTTCTAATCTCGTCGCGCGCGAAGCGCGCGCGCAGTCTGCTAACCGCGCGTGGTCTTAGCCAGCAGCAAAATAAAAATGATCAGTTGTTGGAGAAATTCTCACCATGTGTACCATAGAAAATGTACGAATAACACTATGGAGAAAATGCATCCAATTTGCAGCAACCAGCTGGCATTTCTAAGTTACGAGTTATCTAATAAACAAGTCTCTATTTGGCGCCTTCACATTCCATTAATTTTAATGGTGTTGGGGACTGTATGGTTCTCGCTTGGCTAGTTAACGAAGGAACCGAGACTCGGTTCTTCTACAGTTGTACTTCTGTGACTTTATTCTTTCTTTTATTCTTTCTAGACTGCAAAACAGTCGTGTTTTTTCCTCCAAATTAGTTTCAAGGCGTGGGTTTTCGCGCGATCGGGCAAACGATAGGTGTGGAGCGAGGGTGCGAACTAGTGTTTTGCAGCCTAACTAATTTTTTCCTGGCCGACAGAATTTTTTTATGTTTATTACATGTATCTGTGCCTATTATTAATTCCATGTTCGAATGCCCCTAAATGACTAATTAATTATAATGGAGAAAATGCTTTTGAAAAAAAAAAAAGAAACCGGTCTGTATCATGTCTTCTTTTGTATTACTTGTTCTTGGACTCCTCACTCACTTAGGTGATTGTGGCTCACGCCCATTGACTCAAGCACGTATCGTCGGCGGTACAGAAGCAGCTGTGAACTCATGGCCATGGCAGGCGATGCTACTGACATACCGAGGCCGCACGCAGTTTTGCGGAGGCACTTTGGTCGATCCTTTGTGGGTTGTAACAGCCGCTCACTGCGTTATAGGCCTTAGGCCGTCAGACATGTTTGTCAGGTGAGAACATCATTATAGTAGTAAAGGGGGTCTCTTCTTCCAGTAGCCAATCAATGTCGAGAATTTTGTCCCGCGTGACCGAAGGGACGCTCTCCCTGCAAAATGAAACGGAAGACGTCAAAACAAGCCAGGCCTCACCCCTGTCAGCTAACCCCTAAAACGGTGTCCTTTGTGGTATTCATACGTGTATATGATTGAAAGGTGACCAGTTCACTACGACTCGTTTGTTGAAGCCCAGTACTACCATTTAGTGGTTCTTCAGTTATGCCAGGGACCTTAAAGCTATCATAAAACTACTCTTAATAAATGAACTGAAAGAACGACATCGACTTGGTAATTATAACAGCTGAAAACCCATACAACGAACTCCTTCGTAAAGGACACCAAGGCAAAACTAACAAACCACTATGCCTAATTACAAATAGCTGCTGCCCCGAGATGAGATCTAAAAGTACTGAGCCCATGCTATAGTGAACATATTCTTCCAGTCCCTTAGCATCTTCTTTTCTTTTTAACGTCATATGGCATTTTTAATCTCTTTATAGTTCTCTTGCAAATATTTTTCCTTATATGTGAGTACGACTAAATTACACCAATTAGGCCGCAGGACCGGACCCTTGGCCTGTACTACAGATGCGTGGTAAACAGTTTATTCATCCAAGGAAAAATTGAGATATAAGCAATGAATCGCCCCATATAACATGATGTAAGGGAATTCGGATTCCGGAATCCGGAAAATGTTTACTTGTGGAAACTGGACTCTAAGAGGGTTTTGCTTCTGGAATCCAGAATCCTGGGCTTTGGAATCCAGAATCCAAGTTCCAATGTCAAAGACTGCAATCCAGTACCTGGAATCCTGAATCCAAGAATGTCTTGGATGCCCTTACCCGGGGCGAATTGAAACTTCCTATACTAAGCAATCGTATTTATAGCTTCTCCTAGCCTGCGTCCTAGACATAAGTTTAACCTTGGTAAGTAACGTCTGCGAACACTACCGAGATCCTTGTTCTACCCCCCCCCAACGGACTCAGGAATTACCGGAAATGCGTTTCGAATTTTCTTTCATCCTGATTGGAAAAACAAGAATGGTTCTTTCAACAAGCCAATAATGGCGCGTACTCAAATCTTGGTACACAGGTGAGGGCCCAGAACTAGGATTTTGGCGCTGTTTCGCTGACGGACTTAACCAGAGTTTAGTTTCGTCTGTGGCGCAGGCTAGGCTTCTTCATGACCTGCTTTTTGACATAATAAAAGATTCTTACAGTGTTCTCAAAAGTTCTCATTATAAATAAAATTGATCACGGCAGGTATTAATCAGTCTACTCTGGTGACCATTGTAACGATATTGTCACGCGTATCATTGTCACGCATATCACGTGTGACAAGTCAAGTTTGGACTTGCGCAGTATGTTAAGTTATACATTTATCCCGGATGTATTCGCATGTGCTCCCTGATCTTGTAATGGCTGACATGTTTTAAACCGGCAGTTCGTCTCCATAATCTCGTCTGTAGTCGTCTTCACTTAACGTTACATGGTGTCAGAAGTAAACTGGGCGTCAATTACAGCTCGTAGCCTCCGTCGAAGACGATTGTGAGTACTTTCTCCAATATAATCGCTCCAATATGCCGACAACCCCGAGCGACAACACTGGCGAAAGCGGTGATGGTTCGGTTCCGAATTCATCGACTACACATCACACGGTGATTACAGTTCCAGTGAATATCCCGCTACCAGAAAAGTTAGATTTAAGCGGCGGAAATCTTCCTGTTAAATGGCAACGATTCAGTCGTGCGTGGTCGAACTACGAAATTGCTGCTCAACTCAAAGACCCGGAAAATCCGGATAGGAACAAGCAACGAAGGACGGCCACCCTGCTCACCTGCATCGGGTCGGATGCGCTAGATGTTATTGACTCAATGGAGTTTGAGTCCGAAGACCAGCGGAAAGAGCCAGACGTGATACTTGAGAAGATGGAAAAATACTGCATTGGGGAATGCAATGAAACCTACGAAAGATATGTCTTCAACCGAAGGGATCAGGAGTCTAATGAGTCTGTGGATGCCTATGTTACTGCTCTACGTAAATTAGCCAAGACCTGCAATTATGGGACACTAGCCGACTCACTAATCCGTGATAGAATAGTGGTTGGCATTAATGACAATTCAGCTCGAAAGAAACTACTACAAGCCGGCAAACTCACCTTGAGTCAATGTATTGACATTTGTAGATCTTCAGAGACCTCCGCACGGCAACTGAAGACTATGAATCAGGAGGATGTCCGTCTCGTAAAGGAGGAAAAAGTCAACCCGGCAGGCAAAAAGAAGGCGGGAGTATCGGACAACAGGCCCCGCACTGAATCACGAGAGTCCAGAATGACATGCAAATTTTGCGCTAGGCAGCATCCCTTCGCCAAGAAGAACTGTCCGGCTTGGGAAACACTTGCAAGAAGTGCGGCCTCCCAAACCATTTTGCAGTCTGTTGCAGAGAATCAAAGAAAAGGTGCTTTTTATGGATTTTGACTCCGATGATGACGAATATGTCGCAGAGATTGATGTGAAAGAGCAAGTCAATGCACTAGCCCCCCGCAATCACGCGAGCAAAATTTTTGCCACCCTTCTTGTCAACGGTGGGGAGGAGAAGTTCCAGCTTGACAGCGGCTCAACTGTAAATCTCATGTCAGATAAAACAGTGGAGAGACTCTGTGGTACGGGCTGTCTAAAAGACTTGGACAAAACATCTGTGACTCTGGTAATGTACAACCAGTCTGAGGTTAAACCGCTGGGCAAGAAACGCTTCCGGGTGACAAACCCAAAGAACAATAAGAAGTACAGTATTGAATTTCACATTGTTGGTGGAGTAAGTCCATGCAAGTCTATCCTGGGTCTAAGGGCCAGCAAACACCTTCAATTGCTAACAATCAATGAACACAACATCCTTGCTGTGGATTCAAACGATGAAGACCCTGTCAATCTCAAGAAAGAAGACTACATTTCGCTGTACAAAGATGTGTTCTCTGGGGAAGGCAAACTTGCAGGCCAACTACACCTGGAAATTGACAAGGATGTCCATCCAGTTCAGCTACCCACTCGGAGGGTGCCAATTGCCCTTAAAGAGCCTTTAAAACAAGAGTTGGACAGACTGTCAAGCATTGGAATGATCCTGAAGGTCGACACACCTACTGAGTGGATCTCAGCCGTAGTGGTCACAACAAAGAAAAATGGCAAAGTAAGACTGTGTATTGATCCCAAACCACTGAATGAGGCCCTACACAGGAATCACTACCCCTTGCCCACAATAGATGACGTACTCCCGCTGCTATCCAAGGCCCGTGTGTTTACAGTGCTTGATGCGAAAAACGGGTTTTGGCACATACAACTAGATGAGCCAAGCAGCTATGCGACCACCTTTGGAACACCATGGGGTAGATACCGTTGGCTTCGAATGCCATTTGGGCTTTCTCCTGCTCCAGAGGAGTTCCAGCGGAGAATTGATATCGCTCTCGAAGGTCTCCCCGGACAGAAGGCCATTGCTGATGACATCCTGGTGTTTGGATCGGGAGACACAGATGAAGAAGCCTTCAGGGATCATGATCGCCACCTGAAGGAGGTGTTCACCCGGTGCCAGCAGAAGGGCATCAAGCTAAACGCTGATAAGATGCAGTTCAGACAAAAGCAAGTGACCTACATGGGTCATGTGATATCATCAGAGGGTCTTGGAGTGGATCCGGACAAACTGAAGTCCATCAACGAAATGCCACCCCCCACTGACAAGCATGGTGTCCAGAGAATCCTAGGAATGGTGAACTATGTACAGAAGTTTGCACCAAACCTGGCAGATGTGGCTAAGCCCCTTCGAGATCTTGTGAAGAAAGATAATGAGTTTCTTTGGGAGGAAGATGTCCACGGAAAGTGCCTGGAGGATGTAAAGCGGGTTCTAACGCAAGCGCCGGTACTCAAGTTCTTTGATCCACAAAAGAAGACAGTACTGCAATGTGATGCCTCCATGAGCGGTCTTGGAGCATGCCTATTACAGGATGGACACCCCATCGCGTACGCATCCAGGGCCCTAACTCCAGCTGAGACTAACTATGCTCAGATAGAGAAAGAGTTGCTGTCTATTGTCTTCGGTGTTGAACGGTTTGAGAGTTACGTTTATGGTAGAAAGGTCTTCGTTGATACTGACCACAAACCTCTGGAATCTATTATGAAGAAGAGTTTGCTGAGTGCACCTAAGCGTCTGCAGAGAATGTTGTTACGTCTTCAGAAATTTGACCTCGAGGTCACCTACAGAAAGGGCATCGAGATGCACATCGCAGATCCCCTTAGTAGGGCGTATCTCCCACTGCTCAAGCAAGAGGAAGACACCAAGGAAGATGTGTGGGAGTGTTGCTGATGAAAGATCACCAACAGAGATCGAGACTGAGTATGTGAACATGGCTGAGTTTGTGCCCATTCGACAAACGACCCTATGTGACATCAAATCTGAAACTGAGCTGGACGCTGATCTGAGTGCATTAGCCACTATGATCAAACAAGGCTGGCCAGATAACAAGACAAATGTGCCCCCAAGTTGCAGAACTATTTCCCTTTTAGAGAAGAGTTGTCTTTACAGAATGGAGTTGTATTCAAGGGTGAACGAATTGTGGTTCCACTTACCTTGCGAGATTGCATTATCGACAAAGTTCATGCTAGTCACCTGGGCATTCAGGGATGTCTTAGAAGAGCTCGAGACGCTTTCTTCTGGCCTGACATGAGCAAGCAAATCACCGAGTTTATCTCAAAGTGCAGTATCTGTAATAGTTACAAACCAGATCAGCAGAAGGAGCCCTTAGTATGCTATGAAATACCGTCAAGGCCTTGGCAAAGCATCTCGGCTGACCTGTTTGAGCTCCACGGCTTTGACTACCTGGTTACCACTGACCGTTATTCCAACTTCTTCGAAGTGGATGTGCTGACGTCTAAGACTTCTAAAGAAGTTATTGATAAGCTTAAGCCCCATCTGGCTAGATACGGGCTTCCAGACCAAATTACTACAGACAATGGACCACAGTTTGACTGCAAAGAGTTCCAGCAGTTTGCAGAGCAGTACCAGTTTGAACACATTAGGACCTCGCCGCGGTACCCCCAGTCCAACGGCAAGGCAGAGAATAGTGTTAAAACAGCAAAGCAAATCCTAAAGAAGGCTTTTGATGCGGGACGTGACCCACAGTTGTCGCTACTGGACTTTAGGAACACACCATCGGAGGGATGGACAGCTCCCCTGCACAACGTCTCTTCTCACGCAGAACCCGAACTTCCCTACCCATAGCTAGTCAGTTGCTGCAGCCACAGTTGGTCCCTGATGTGGGCGACAAGTTACAAGAGAGAAAAATGAAACAAGCCAGGTATTACAACAGAGGAGCCAAGGTACTACAGCCTCTACAAGAGGGAGATGTGGTGCGAGTCCGACCCCTTAATCGCCGGTCGAAATGGTTCAAGGCCCAAGTTGATCAGCACATAGATGTGCGCTCCTACAATGTTCGCACTGAAGATGGTCGACTTTATCGCCGCAACCGTTCCCATCTCTACAAGGTTCCTGAGAGGTACCAACCAAACCATGATGAAGAGCTGGTGTTAACTAAGTTGTCTACGCCGGAACAGCCTGAGGGTGCATGTCAGTTGCCTTCAGCATCCCCTGTATTGCGGTTGCCTTCTGTATCTCCCACACCACGGATGCCTCATGTTTCAGATGTACAACCTCCTACCAATGGTCTGCCAACGGATGCCCAACCAAGGGAAGTTACTGATCCTGCTCCGGTTACGACTAGAAGTGGCAGAATTGTTAGGAAACCTGCTTATCTGAAAGACTTCTGTGTCTAGTGTGATATTGAACATTGAATTGAATTGAATTCAATATTGAACGATGAAGAAAGGGCATTGGTTGGTTATCGACCAGTTTTGAACAGTGAACATTATAGCTAGTTTCTGTGCCATTCCCAAGTTTCCTTTGGGCTTGTTTGTTACACAACAGTGAGCGTTGAACTTCATAGTTAGTTCCTGCACCATTGCTAAAGCTTCCTTTGGCTATTGGTGTTTTGTTTTGTTTTGTTTTGTTTGGTTTCTTTTGTTTCATTTAAACGAAGGGAGATGTAACGATATTGTCACGCGTATCATTGTCACGCATATCACGTGTGACAAGTCAAGTTTGGACTTGCGCAGTATGTTAAGTTATACATTTATCCCGGATGTATTCGCATGTGCTCCCTGGTCTTGTAATGGCTGACATGTTTTAAACCGGCAGTTCGTCTCCATAATCTCGTCTGTAGTCGTCTTCACTTAACGTTACAACCATTGCAGCTTTAACTAGTCAGGTAGACTGAAATCTGTGACAACAACTATACACGATAAAACTATATTTGATCATTAAATAATAGTCTTAAACTTGATAATTATGTATCATAATTATTAATAACAATGCATGTATTTATGACCATTTTTTCTTTTTCTCATTTTTAATAGAATGGGAGCCCACTTTAGAGTAAATGGTACTGTGGGTTCAGAACAGGATATAAATGTTTTAGAAATTATCGTACACCAGGAATACGGCAGGCAACTCTTCTACAGCAACGATATCGCTCTTCTAAAACTGGCAAAAGCAGTTAACCTCAACAATCAAGTAGGAGCCGCTTGTCTGCCGGATATGAATCTATCCCCCGTCGGCAAAACATGTTGGATCACTGGCTGGGGTACACTGTATTCAGGAGGAATTCAACCAAACACCTTAATGCAAGCTCAAGTACCCGTTGTTTCCAAACAAGTTTGCCTGCTAGCCTACCCGAACCAACTTGATGACACTATGGTCTGCGCAGGTACCAGGTTCGGTGGCGTGGACGCCTGTCAAGGTGACAGTGGCGGACCGTTGGTCTGTGAGTTTAGCGGCAGGTGGTTTCTTGAAGGAATCATTAGCTGGGGAAGAGGGTGTGCAGCTCCGAACACTTACGGGGTATATGCAAATGTTCGCGTCCTTTTGCCATGGATTAATGTTAATATTAACCGCACTAACAGATCAGTAGCAGCAAGCAGGATCTCTGCGACACTTTTAGGTAAGTAGACAGTGTGACTGATAAAAACGCGAAAATAGACGTTTTTTTTTTCAAAACAAAAAACCTCACCCACAGCCCTTAACTGTCTACATACACTCAAAAAAAATCCCAAAAAATGATGAAAATGCTGAAAATAAAGTGGAACCTAGAGCCACCGTAGAGTGAAAACTTTGAACATCTTACGGAATTATTTTTTTTTCTCTGTTCGAGTATGCAGTGGAGAAATGCGTCATTAGTTTTGAGTATATATTAAAACAGTGGATAGTGTTTTTCGCGGGTTCTGATTGGCTTCTCAAACTTAGGAAATGCAGTGCTATTCAACACCGAACGACAATTACGAGCAAAATGTCCTTCCGGTTTGCAGCCGTAACAAACGAGGAAATTTCACAAGTAAACGAATCGAAGAGGGGATGAAATTCGGTTTGGCAGGTTTTAACACGTAATGCTTTGTCCGTTTAACCTGAATTACTGAATCGATGAAACCGGTGAAAAATTTCCTTTTACAAATGCAAATTAAGTCTTGTTTTCAGAAATATGCTTAAGACCACTTCTTTTACCGGATGGTTTCAAATGCAAAAAGAATTCACAACTCTTCTTGAAGAAATGCCCTCCTAAGAACTAAGCAAATGGCTTCATTGTTTCCTCGGGAAAAAAAGTTGCGGCTGTTCTATCATTTGCGTGACATATTGCAATCGTCGGCAGTAATAAATGACTTAAAAACCATTATTTTTAATGTTCAATTATCCCACTGTTTTAGTACATTTACCTCGCCGCTTCGCTGCTAGGTAACCGCCAACTACCTCTACTTCAGGGTATAACTGTTATTTACTCAATGACATTAACATTATATTTTTTCAACTAATTCTGACAAGCTCGCGTGCCTGTGTAGCCTCCCACGCAGACGTTCGTTGGGGTTTGCCCCTCGGGCAGGAACGCGAGACGAACCCCGTAAGAACGTCTGTGTCGGAGGCTAGCCCGTGTGACTTGGACGGTGGCGTCATTTTCAGACCGGAATCCTTCAAGTTTTTGCTTTCTTGTACATAACAAGGCTAAAGTTTTTTATTTAAACCTTACTGGGATTACCAAACTTGAATATGCAAGAAAAATTGAAATGAATTCTGGTCTTAGTAGTAAAAAGACATCATCGTGCAAATGGGGCTATCATCGCTCAACAATTTTACTGTTATTTCAAAGGTACAACCCCGGACAAAACCTGTTAAGACAAATCGCGAAAATGCCTATTTTTTCCTATCATCCTGGCAAAAACTGAAACCTCCGCCAAATGAATGCCCGATTTCCTCCCTCCCCTTATTCAAAGTTGTTTAGGATAGTATGGCAATTATACACGTTGGTTTTTAGACCAAGACAACTTTGAATAGGGGGTGGGGAGGAGGCTTACTTTTTCTGTTTAGAGGAGACAGGAGTAGGGTTCAAAAGTTAGAAAATAGACGTGTGGGGGCGTATTTTCTCGAAAACAGAGGGAAAAAACCTCCGTTTTTGGAAATAGTCTGCCTTACAGTTTGCAATTACAACCAAAACAAACAACTTAAAAATAGCTTTTTTGGCAAAGAGTTTAACTGAGAAATTTCGGTGTTCTAATATTGAACTTTTTGTTTCAAGGCAGTGCAAGCATGTCCCGCAGTTTTACCTTGGGGATTTCACCGTCAAGCAGTTTTTGGCCTTCAGCTATTACGCCGCCAACGTCAACTTCAGTTTCTGTGGCTGTTTCCATGTCTGTGATCGGTGTTGGCCCACTTTCTGAACGAGATTCTTCAAGTATCTCTCCTTCAGATGTCCAGAGGAACATATCGCCGTCTCCAGTACCAAAAGCTAGGACGATCAATAATATTCTTCTCATTGGAAAATTGATCTGGATGCTTTGATGTTGAAAGATTGTTTAGTTGATAGTCGACAGAGATTATTTTCCTGATCTAATCGACTTTTCAGCTATGTTTTCTACAAAGCTTGGAAAGCTTTTTAGAGGAATATCTATTTCAGTCTTCCGACCTACCAGTTTTTTAGCCTGAGAAACGAACTCCAAATGAAGAAACGAAGAGTTTGCTGTTAACAATTGCAGCAAGGATCAGTAGAGTTCTGTAACAACTATACAAGAGGACGTCAGTGTCGTTGTGACATTCATGATTAGGGTCAATGTGCCCTTTTTTTGCTTTAACTGACATGATGTCAAAAAGAATAAATTGAATACCTGATTTAGTGATTTATTCAAATTTAAAAGACGGTGCATTTACAGCACTTAAAATGGAAGCCAAGTTCAAAATCAGTATGTCAAAGGGTACCATTTTTCAACAAAAATTAAAGGTATACAAAGAGTCCCTTTTCTGTCAAAAATAAAGGGTAAGGGTTGGACTTCTAGGGTAGGAGTAGTCTCCTTCGCAGCCGTTATTAGGGTCGTCACGCAACGCTCCTCCCCACTAGTGGGGAGGAGCGTTGCGTGACGACCCTAATAACGGCTGCGAAGGAGACTAGGGTAGGCGCCTCCCCGTATAAATATGGCCGCCGTGACGTCATATGAAAACGCTCCATATTGAGCTAAAGTCTAGCCCCCAAGGTTTATGGTTTGAGTTTGATGAAGAGACGCTAGAGGCCTTGCATTAATTTAACAATTCGGAATATTTCCAACAACAAAGGCGGGTTCATAAAATTAATTCCCACAATAACAACGCTGCAAGCTCGGATATCTACAGTTTCCAGCAATGTATTGTTATGTTACGACGAGGGGACGCTTCACTGCAAATTTGCGTAAAGCTTCTACTGTACATTGGCTGGAGATTAACCCTTTCACTGCCAAATGTGGCCAAAGGCAAATTTCGACCAAATATCCAAATTTCATTTTCTAAAATTTTGACAAACAAATAGCATCATGTGAAAGTACAGGCAGAGAGCTTTCATTTGAATGGTCACATCATAGGATGTTGTCCACAGACTCAAAAGTTAGAGTCACCTTACAAATCTCCATCAAACACTCTAGCAGTGAAAGGGTTAAAGATCACATGTTACGGCTATCGTTTAAGAAAGGGCACGCCCTGTTAAAAAAAAAAACGCAAATGGTATACTTTTTCAAAAAAATAATTCTAGCCCCATGAGGACTCAAAACCACTGTTTACCGTTAAGGGCTATTGGCAAAATACTTGATCGGTGCTACCAAGGGAGAATTCTCACTTAGTGCTACTACTTTAAATTGCCACTGGGAATGGGATTTGAGGCAAACGTTATGTGGGACGGGCGCTCTTGGAGCTAAATGATAGGTTAGCCTGGAAAAATGGAAATTGTAAATCCTCACCTCACCCTTAAAACCCCCCTCCCCAATGAGGGGACCCTGAGAGAGCAGAAGCCCGAGCGGGGTGCAGAGCAAACTTGGATTCTACGCCATAGCAATCGAACAGACAAATAAACCCAAAAGACGCTCAGAAGGATAGCCAGTATATTTTCACCTGGTTACAGCTCATACAGACAGTATATTCCAGGTATAGCTTTCAAAATACATAAGCGTAGTTTATGCCTAGGATAAAGAAATCGCAAAAAATATATTATTAATGCAGCATTAAGCCCTTAAAGAGTTCAGTATCAACATTCTCCTAGTAATATTAATGCTTTATAAAAGAGATCGGTGACAAGAATTAAGGACTTCATCACACAAGATGAATCTGGCTGATTCTACAAAAAGTACTCCCCTCCACATTTATGGGAAACGTTCGGGGGCAATGAATGAGAATTTCACTTTTCATATTAGGGTTTAAAGGGTTAAGCGACGTGCAGGGTTATAATAAATACCTATACTGGCCGACAATGCCTGAAATAGCAGTCTTAAAGTCTCTTGATAGTATCCGTAAATCCTACTTTTTGTACACATCTCGATGTTAATTAGACAGAGATGTTCATGTTTTGCGAGTACATCATTCTAGGTGAAACAAGAAAACGTCCTGCACGGTTATGATGTTTCTCACACTAATTACTTGAGTGCCAGTCAGGACTAATGCCCGCTATGCGTAGCTAATAATTCTAACATAAAATAGCTCTAACTTACTGTATAATTTATTTTTACTTCTAAATTCATTTGTATCTCTCGTCCAGTACTAGGATATTATAGCAGGTTCTCTTGACGAAAGACTAGTCTCTTGAGAACCAAAAACAAATTGAATATACTCATTCAAGACAGAATTTCTTGACTCGTTTAAATACCGTTAATTGAGGATCGTCTCTTTCGTTAACAAAGTTAGGCCAAACATAAGAAAGAGACAGACGCACCCTAATTTAAGTTATATTCAATAGTCTAAAAAGGTGCATTAACTTCTTAGCAGAGCAATCGTTATCAACAAGCGCACACGTAAATAACGTTTTCTTATAAGCAACTTTTACACTAATAGTCCTTCGAAAACGGGCCTGAACAGAATTATTCAGTGTACTCCTAAGTCTTCTATGTTGTTATCTCGTCCATAGAATCCGTTGTTATAAAAGATTTCAAAAATTTCCTCAAGCCCTTCTCCCCCAAGATCACGACTCCAGTTTGATCTTCGCCAGTCTCTTTTTAAGGTCGTCTCCTTTCTCCTGATAAAAACAGAACCAATGAAAGGGATTAAAAGCTGTTTTTACTAATGATGTTTAGTTAGTCTTCAGAAAGTGAACTGAATATTACACCGTAGGATATAATTACGAGTATAATAATAAGCAAGTCGTTATAGCGCGTGCGAAGCGCGCAGCGGAGAACCATGGGTAAGAAAATTTGGTAACCTATGCATCCGAGAAATTTTGGTAGTCACGTGACCGTACGTCCGCCCGTCCGTCCGCACCACTGGTACACCAACAAAGGACACGAAGGACACGAATTTCGATTCTTTGGAAGAAAAACATGAACATTTCATAGCGGCGAGGCTGTGAGAAAATGAGAAATGCGAGCGCCAGCAAGATGAAAATGAGCGGCAATGAAAAAATAAAAGCGAACAAGAACACGGTAAATAAAACCTTTGGTAAGCACATACGAAAATTCTTCCATAAAAATGATGTGTAACTAGGAAGTTTGAAGTTTTAGTCGCATAAAATGGTATTGTAGTCTTGCAAAACAAAGGCAAAGAAAAACAAAAAAAGCATGCAAATTTGTTCTTTTGCTAATTAGAAAAAAAAAGTGTCCTGCACGTGCAAATTTATTAATTTTTTTGTTAATTAGATCTATTGATCTTGATGCCATTTCCATTGCCGTCCCCGTTCAGCATTACATGATTTATTTTTTTTGTTTATAAGTATTATTAACCAGAGCTTCGCTTTTAGCCCTGGCTAAATCTAGATATTAATGGCTGGTCGCCCCATTCAAAGGAATCCAAGACAGTCTTGGATTCTGGATTCGATGTGCATTCAGGATTCTATGTACTAGATTCCGGATTCTTAATCATTGGAACTTGTATTCCGGATTCCACTCATTAATTTGATTCCGAATTCCTTGAGCTGTATTCCGGATTCCAATGGCCAGGATTCCAGATTGCACCGCAAAAATTTGATGGAATCCTGATTCCACAAGCAGGCCTGTCCCGATGGTGCTCGTAAAATGCTGGAAACTTGCTTACTGGAATGCCAAAAAGTTGCTGCAAAATTGCCTAAAACGTTGCTACCGAAATTCTGCATATTTTATCTATTTTTTGAAATTTTTTCTGCTTTAGTTTTTTGTTCTCCACAATAATTACTAACGTGGGTCCAACAATTGCCTTTTTAGGCCTGCAAAACTTTGTTATGTCTTCAAAGGTGGATAATCATTTACAAGAGAATACAATTCGCATAAATTGAATTTTTCTATGAAATCGTTGACTATTTCGTGATTGATACGTGCTCTAAACTTATGTTTTGCTCAAAAATTGCTCAGAAAGGAAAAATATTGCTCGAGGTTGTTAGAAGCTCAAAAAGTTGCTCCAAAAGCCAGAAGTTGCCGGAAAGTTGCGGAGCGCAATCTGGACAGGCCTATCCACGAGCAAACATTTCCCAGATTGCAGAATCCGGATTAACTTACATGAGCAAGCTGGAATTTTCCACTTACCGGTGAGTCCGATGATCTCTATTTGAAGCGTTATAAGTGCGCAAAAAAAACCAAACAAACAAACAAACAAGCAAAACAAAAGACAGCAAGAACAACAAAAACATCTCTCAGCGACTTTTGCTTTAAGGCTGGGCTCCCAATCCCAAGAGAGGTAAATCTTCATCTTCTTTTAAATAAGTTTGGTGACCGATGATTTTTTTCTCTTCTTTGAAAATGAACAGTGACTTTCCTCTCTAAAATGTAGACTAATTCTCAGAGCAGAAAAAAAATCGTCAGAAACGTGTTCAAAACGTCTATTCGCAAATAATTATAGTCATATTAAATTTGGTGTTCAAAGAAATCGATCGGTAAAGTTTGACAAAACTCTCACTGTAGTTTCTATTTCAGACGAATGACCTTAAGCAGGCTGTATAGTAAGTTTTTTTTGTTACGTTAAGTGAGCTTTCTTTGTAGTACAGCTTTGAGCAGGCATGAATGATTCCAGGGAACTTCAAACAGTGAGTTGAACCTCTATATCTTGAAGCGGCCACCCTCGGGGTACCGGCAAGTGGCCGCTTATTGGAGGTTGGTCTCTCGATAGAGGTGGTTCATCGTAAATTACAGTTGAACCTCTCCACAACGGACACCCTGGGGCCAGAAGAAAGTGGCCGTTAGTCGGCAGATTCGACTGTAGCATAATCGTTGGCAGAAACATCACTTTATTTTGACACAAACGCGCGACGGGAGAAACATTACTGGTCTTCAATCGGCCGTCACCTTCTATCTCAGACTGTATTTTCTTTCATCATATTCTAAATTGAAGCTAAACTAAGTGTATCACGTGCTTGATGGGGAGAACTCTCGTTGGCACAAAAGGTGGCCGCTTAATAGTGGTTTAATTTCTCATTCTTTTCTACAATTATTTCGGGACTATGATTCCTGGCCGCTTAATTAAGGGTGGCCACTTAATTGAGTTTCAACTGTCATTTGAAACTGCACGATATGAAAAACTGATTAACAATATTTCTTATTTCCTATATGTCAACATATCTTACCTTCTATGCACAAACATCACAATTAAAATTATCAAAAGTAGAAGGACCAGTCCACCAAGAACACCAATTATAATCCACACGGTGTCATCACTACTGCTGGTTGGTCCGACAGGCATATCTGTAGGTGTGGATGTAGGCTTGAAAAGAGATTCCACACCAGTTATATTGGCGCCAATTGCGGCTTCAATCTGTCGTTCATAAAGTTGAATAATTTCAACCAGTGCGCTGCTAGGGAGTACTGATTGGTTTCCAATAAAAAGTCCCGCTGGCTGCTGAACGTAAAAAGCGACGAGAAAAGTACCCGAAGCGTTTTTAGGATAACCGGGGAGAAGATGAACTCGCAAAGATAAATAGAGGTCGATTCTGATGAAATGAAAAAAAAAAAAAACAAAAAAAAGACAAAAAAAACAAAAAACGTATTAATGACTTAATCAATCAATCAATCAATCAATCAATCAATCAATCAATCAATCAATCAATCAATCAATCAATTAATATTGTCATAATTCATTAAATAAGTAAATAATAAATAAATGAATTATTAGTATTACTCGTAGCCGTTTTGTGTCGTCGCGTAATGTTCCTCCCGAAGTGTTCTACGATGAAAACACTAAAACAGCAGCGTGGGGACTAATAAATTATCGCAGTTAATTTCTTAAATAACAATTAACTTTAAAAAGTCGACTTAGAAAACGTCGGATATTACTGCACCCAATTATTTGTGTTTAGATATCGTTTGAAACACGCTCTCTCGTGTTAATAAGCAGAAGCCGGCGTTCAGAGGTAAACTAGGTGAAGGCACACAGGGGGCCCGTGTCTCAAAAAGTCCCGTCCGTAACTTTTCGAGCCTGTAATCAAACACACAAATATTAATCTAAAGAAAAAATGTGCGGGATAACAAACTTGTCCATTTTGCTTTTGAGTGATAGTTTTACCAAATTATCAGGAAAACTTTTGCAACCTAGATCTTGAAAGTAAACTACAACAGCTTTCGTGATCCGTTAATTACTAAGTTACCTTCCTTGCCGTGTAACGGTTAATGCACATTCTGTCCTGTTCACATTACAATATTCGGACGCAACGGACGCCATTATTTCTTTAAAAGCCTGGTCTGTTGTATAATCCCATTTGAACTATCAAACAACAAGTAAACAGAGAGTAAAAAGATAATTAGTGTCCCGATAAGTAAGTCTGAAAGGTACAAAACTTGGACACCGCCATATTGCTTTCGTGCGACAAAAATTACATTATATTAGCGATTTATTATATCCATTTTGATCCCTGCAATCTGACTGGCATATGTATATGTTTCTTCGCATTAAATCGTTTGAAGAAAGACACACAATTACTAACAATTAATACAAGAAAAAATACTTACAGTGCTATTATAAAGAATGGTTATCTGCACCGCCTCCAGTTGTTCTTCTGCTGATGGCGTTCGCGGCTCAGCAAGCGGAGGGGTAGGGGCTGTCTCGTTTATCTCCAGAGCTATGACGTAATAACAATTATCCCAGTTAAAAACACGCACGGCTAAGAACCTGGTTTTTAGGAACCTGTTAGGCTAAAATTTGCCAGTTAGGACCCTTAAATACAAGAGCCTGTTTAGCTTTAAATTTGAAACAGGTTCTCATTTTCTAAAATCTATGAAAAAATTCTGTACACTTGAGGAAATAAGATAAGTCAACATTCAGAATCCTATTTGGAGACATAGATGTCTTATCATTCCAACTGCAATGTAATAGAATGCAGATATCATATAAGGAATAAGCTGACTATCACGTCGCGGGTTTTAACTTTCTTATCTTCTTCGTTCAGTGAAGCCCCTTTCGACTGTTCAAAAGGTTTCGGGCCGTGGCCATGAGATCTTAAATAGCAAAAATCTCTATACCCGGCAATTCAAGGACACTCATTATCTGAAAGCTTTTTACGATTTTTCCCAGTCAGATCTAGCTCATGCTAACGATTACTAGAGTTCTGAAGATCATCGCTTCGATTTAGGTCGAGGATTTTCTTCACCCGTCTTCAGCGACAAACATTTTACTGAAAGTGACTGTAGTTCCAATCTTAAGAAGGCTTCTTGGAATTTTTTTAATCGAGCGTTTGTTATTTTAGTCTAATACAGATACTGTAAGTCAAATAATTGGCCATATGTGTCCCCATTACAAAATTACCTCTGCATCGTCCATCAATAAAGAAAAGGTTCTGTCCACAGTCACATCTGTAAGTACCGATGTCATTGATGCACCTTTGAGTGTTCGTGCAGTTAAACAACCTGTCATCTACACACTCATTAATATCTGCAAAGTAAAAAAAATCGGTAGAATGCTTCAGTTTTTTGCTAATTGAACACTAACTTAAAGGACATCTTTATTGACTATTTTGGAATCCCCTATATTGCACTCTGTTTACCCCAACCCACCCCAAAAAGGCTGCATAAAGTTTTTTTTTAGTACTCTACGGAATATGCAGTTCTACTGGGAACATTTGAAAAAAAAAAGGTTATGCATAATTTGGGGGCAGGCGGAATAAACAAAGCGTATTATGGGAGATTTGGACTTACTAAAAACTGAATCATTGGATAATGCAATTCTAGAGCTCTGACTGGCTTAGCTATCCTGATATATAAGCCATTGTTATATTCCTAGACTTTCACTCAACTAAACAGGGACTGCCATTGGTTGATTCTTGGTCACGTGGCCTTGACTAAAATCAAATGTATCCCGATCGTGATACATTAAACAATGTATCCCGCTCGGGATACATTGCAGCACGTGATCAAAGCATGGTGGAAAGTGGTGTGACAGAAGGCGGGAAAAACACCGCCAGGTCCTGCCAGTTTTCTTTTTCGTGAATGAATACAACAACACAAAAACGAAGCCTCAAGCCAAAAAGCAACGATTTTTAAAGTTATCCTAGAAGTTCCCACAAGAAAAATAGCAGCTAGTGGAGGAAAAAGATGCAGATAATATGAGGAAAGTACTTTTGTTTGTAAATCATTCATTCAGGGGTTTTGAGAATTAAATTTGTGTTGTTATGAGTACCGAGTCGACTGTTTTGGTTCGCTCCGGTTATTCTTTTGTTGCTGTTGAAGTGAAAGTCTAGAAATATAACAAATCACTTAATGTCAGGTCCCTCGGGAAACCAGTTAGTTTTGTTTTCCCAAGAGTCCTGATGTTTCCCGAGACGAAGTCGAGGGAAACATCAGGACTCGAACTGTTTCCCTCGGGATCTGACATTAAGTGTATATTATATCATGCTCTCAAAACAGGGTAACTGTACGGGTCTGCTCAAAATTAACAACAAACTGAAAATCGGTTCTTTTACACAAATAAAGTCGGGAAGCCTGATTCTCGATATTTTGTGGGCGTTTTTAATAACACAATTATTCCACTCGCGCTTTTTGGATATGACTGAGATGATTATAGCCAACTCGGCGCTAGGCGATATTCAACGCGCACTCGTGGTATAATTGTTAAATAGACAAAAAGGTGGATATGCTCTCTAAAACCGTGATCCTTAACGCTTCCTTAGAACTGAATTTTTTACTTTGTTATTGGAAAAAAAGACCAAAATATTACCATCACAAGTGTACCCATCGCCGGATAATCGATATCCTGCTGGACAAGAGCAATCATATCCTCCAGGGATGTTTTTACAGATATGGCTACATCGATGGAGACGCTTATCCGGATCACACTCGTTGATGTCTGAGAAAAAAATGCTTAATATAAGTATATCCCATCTAAAGAGCTAACATGCACAGAAGACGTCCCTTAGTGTTTAAGCCTCGGCGACGTGTGGGTGAGTGAAAACGAGCTAGATTTACAAGCTGCAGCAAATTGATTCTGGATTCTGTACATTTTTTGTGGTGAAAATGTGAGTTCCCTGAGACCCACGTACCTACAAGCTACGCACTGAAATGGGTTATCGTGCTTTGAATGATACACCGTCTGGTCTCTACGTAAAGTTGGATTTTGGGTAAGGAAAAATCTAGTATACACGAGAAAGAGCATTCGGAAGCCTGTTCAGGATAGGTTATTGGAGTGATAGGAGGGAGGGGGCATCAGGGACCGCGCAGGGGGAGGAGCTGGGGGGCCAGGGGCCCCCCACTTTTTGAAAAATAAATAAATAAAATTAAGTACAGTGGAACCTTTATATAAAGAAGCGCCAAGGGGCTGGCAAAATATGTTCGTTATAACGAGGTTCTTTTTCATATTGCCTTATATTTTAATATTACTGGAGTCAAAAAAAAATAATAAAATAGCTCGTTAGATCGAGGACTTTGTTATAGAGTTTCTACTGTAATATACATTTTCATAAAAATGGTATCTTTGTTGGAATAAGAATCTTCCAGCATCTAAATTTATTATTGGTCCCTTTTTATCCCATCAGTCTGATGCGTAGCAAGCCTCAAAATGCCTAACTTCAAGAAACTGCACTTAGTCCAAGAGCTCTGCATTTTCAACTAAAATCAGCAAGGCTATGTAGCATTTGCAGCGATGCGGAATAGTCTTTTTTGACGAAGGTCTTGATTAAATCTGAAGTCTACTCCACGAACCACGGTTTCTTAAACCGAATTATACCGGCTGATGAAGTGGTCTCTGACGCATTTCCATAACATACTAGACAAAATGAAGGGGTTACAGGAACCTACAGTGTAATATCATGATCTGCGAACTTCTAGTGGTGGATCCATCATCTGCAATCACGCTCAGCAGGAGAAAGGTACTTTTCAGCGGCTTGAAATTTATAAACATGACTCCGCTCAACAATGACTCAAGAAAGGTTCAGTAATCTGACAGTTCTAAACAGCCACAAAGAGAGAACAGCCAAATTTGCTCCTCTCGCCCCCACCTCAAAGTAGGTGGTTGTTTGACCGCCGGCCCCGCACTTTAAAAACTGCTCCGCGGGCCCTGGGCATTGCTTGCAACAGCCCTTAGTCAAAGCGGGGGATCCATTCATATGTTTTAGGAATACGAAACGTTTTCCGTGTTTGCATAGCCTGATACAAATACGAGAGGGGTTGGAAGAATTTGATACAATTATTCGATTGCGAGAAGCATGTTGTTACGGTGGTGGTTCGGCAAAAAGAGAGGACAAAGCTCTATCCTCTCTCGTCGGTATTAAAGACAATACTTACACGTATCTTGAATTTATCCCTCCTTACTACTTGAATAACTGTTTTGCCACTTTTATCCTGAATAATTTAAATTCTTTGCTATGCATAACATTAGGGGTGCTTAGTCAAGAAACATGATTGAAACCTCTGCCAAGTCGACTTTGATTCGCGCCTCAATTACTCACAAAAGCAGAATCCCTATAATATCGAGTACCTGTGCATGTCTTTCCATCCCTTTGAAGTTCGAAGTTTGCAAAACAGTCACAGTTTGGCTGATTATTAGCATCCTTGAAACACACATGGTCACAGCCAAAATCTGGAGAACAGGGGTTCGTTGCTAAAAAGTAAGAAAAACAAAACTATTGTGATCATCCCATTGATTTTATCACTCGTCATTGGTTCAACGGTTACATATTCACCCTTTCAATTTTGCTATTAGCAGAAAAGCTCTCATGGCAAATTAATAAATAGGTTCTATTACAAACAAAGAAGTACGATGCATACCCACGCACTTTCTCCAGTCTGTTGGATCTACCACGAAAAACTGATTACATGAACAGTTAAAGCTTCCCGGCGTGTTATCACACTGGTGCATGCAGTCATTTGATGGCTCGCATTCATTGATATCTATACAGTAAATAAAGACATTCCAATGAGAACACGAATAGTTTACCGGCAATGTAATTGATTGCATAGTCCGCATTTTTAGGGTGTATCCAAATGAGTCCGTTACAGTTTCTAAACAAAGAGAAACATTAACAGGCTTTCATCCCCAGATAAACGAAGGGGCAACGTCAAAATTACGCGTCTTCATTCGCGATGATAACAAACGTTAGCGAAGAAATTACTTTTAAATAACGCAGTCACAGCTTCTTGGCAAACAAATATTCCAAAAAAGTCCCAAATATTTCCGAAGCATTATATCAATGCTAAAAACCACAAAACTACAATCAGTGCAATCCATTGCAATCTTTTTCAAGTTTGTAAGGCCATCCTTGCCTTTTTTGTATTTGCTGCACTGTCGCCGTTTTTGTCTCATCACGCAACACAGACAGAAACGACTGCGAGGGAGGCTAAGTTACAATATACCTTTGAAAACTTTTTGGAAAGACTTATCCAATTTTAATTGGATAATGTTTGGTCATTTTGTGAAAAGAATGTGCTAACAAAGTTATCTTAGTAGGAAGTCCCATACCTTCACAGCTGCGTCTATTCGCTTTAATGGTGAATCCATTGGAACAAGTACAATAGTAGGATCCCGGTGTATTGACACAGATTTGCTCGCAGTTGCTTGTTTGACATTCGTCAATGTCTAAGGAAAAAGTCCAATAATGTAAACGCTAACAGGTTATATACTAGAGAAGTTTCCTTAAGTGGACTATTAACTAAAAGTCTTTTAATATGCATACCGCTTTAATATGTTGTTACAGCATTTCCCAACATGGTAGGTGCTTATTCCTTCTGAAAGGACTCAATTTTTTTAATTCTTTCAACTCATTAGCTGCTCGGAATTCATCTCTTTGCCAGAATTAAGTAACGCCTTTCGCAGTTATTCGAGCCGTTTTCTGGTCTGCGCTGCCTTCAGCCCCTGATGCTAAAGTTAAGTATTCATTACGCACAACGCAAATTTTCGGCTTCTCTCCTCCCTTCTTCTTTCTCTTTTCTGGCTCTGTTTTTTCTTTTAAGATGGGCATTTATGCATCAGTCAGTTCCACCTGCTCCCAGCCACCCACCCCCCCCCGGGCTGACCCCCTGGCATTGCATTTTCTTTGCCTTGGCAAATTCCCGGAGGTGGGGACTCTTGAGCTGTCAAATCCCCCAGGTGGGGACGAAAAAAGAGGGCAAATGCCCCGTCCTCCGTCAACAATTCAACATTTTTCATTGATCGCACAGTCAAAGAGTGCCATTTTAAGCATTTTAATGTGCGATTTTTTTTTTGCAATTAACGTCTTCCTTTGTAATAGCGCGAGGATTCTAATTAAGACTTCACGCCGCGACGACATGCACCAGTTTATGGTTTTAGTATTGATATAAAATTATTGACATTAATTCTGAGTGCTGTAAACTTATATGTTAAATAGTTTTATAAAATGAAAGATGTTCTTCAAATAATATCAACAGAAATTTGATTCAATAACCAAAAACGTTGATTCAAATCGATAGAACACTGTAATTCTTTTCTGGCTTGGTAAACAATGAAGAAATGCCATACATCGAGAATTTTTATTCCCTCTATTTATTCCTATCCTTAATTGACAGATGAGCCAATCTGCTTTTTTCCAGTAAACCCTTCGGTGTAGTTATATTCTGATAGGAAACCGCGTGCGTGTCAAAAGCTCGAGAATGGCCCGGGGGTTGGCAAATGCCCGTCCCCCGGGCAGTGCAAAATTTGCAAATGCTCCACCCCCGGGACTGACAAGGCGGGCAAATGCCCCGCAGTAGCCCGGGGGGGGGGGGGGCTGGGCGCAGGTGGAATTGACTGATGCATTACTAGGCTTTATTTCGTTCTAAAGAGGTCTCTTGAAGTAATACTGGCACGCTTAATAAATTTTCACGGCTATGTGGTCCTGGTTTAATTTCTCTATTTTTTCTCTCTCTTTAAACGCTTTATCGTACATGCACATAATCAAAATCAAAGGAAAATAAAATTTTAACCGAGGATAAATTGAATCATAATAGCCATACCCACCTAAACATTGAGCGCCATCTCCGGTAAATCCTGTTGGACAGGGCCCACAAGTATATCCACTGACATTTGCTGGTGGGGGAAGATCAATACATCCAACTCCTTCGTAACACGGTTGACCATTCAATTCGCAGGCATCAATTTCACTTTCGCAGAACCTTCCCGTATAACCTCCTTGGCATGCACATCCCATGTAAATAAACTTGATGTCGGTGTTGATGGAATCACCCTCTTCTGGCTCTATGCACTGTCCATCGTTGTTGCAGGCGCACATCCTAATTGTTGGATTCCAAAGTGCGCTTGCACCTTTGTCATCAGTAGCAACGATTGATAGATTGAACTGACCAGAGAAAAGCGACAAAAAAAGTAACAACAAAAACAAAAATTAAAAATCTGAATTTAATTTTTTGGCTAGGTTGTGACAGCAGTTTGAATAAAGATTTTCATTTTCGTTAACTACGAGCTTTAAAGTATAAATTACTGGAAAAAAATCTTTTGTTGGTAATATCATCGTCAAATATGCAGATTATTCCGGATTGTCATAGTAAACACCTTCATACAAACTCGATAAGCTTGAAAAACCCTCTCAGTGTCCCTACCCCTTTATGGTCAATTCTGCGGCCATATTACAGACCCCGATCTCAGTCACTTTGGGAAAAAAAAAGGAATTTTTGCAATTCCAACTTTCTGTTTATTCATCTACATGTACCTTATAAAGCCTGAAATGAACTGACACATTTGATATTAATGTGGTGTAAGACTTTCTATTTTTAAATCTCTAGTTACCTGAATTTTCTGACCCCCAAAATCCTGAAAATGTGCGACCCCATTCTAGTAACTCTTAAAAAGTAACCCCATAATAGTTAATCCAGTCGTGAAAATGCTACCCCATCCAGCGACACATACCCATTAGCCTACTACTAGGAAGTACTCCCCCCGGACTCCAGGGCAATTGCCTTCGTCTATGGCAACCTCGTTCCCAGGGGCCTCCCCTTTCCATCCCTACCGCTAAGAAAGAGAACCTGGGAAATAAGCTGTGTCTATGGTTGAGGGAGTTCATACTGAGGTCATAAAAACAAGTCTGTGATTGTTGAGGTGGTGCTGATATAGCCTCCCCCCGCCTCGTTTAATACCACAAATAACTTCCATTAATTTTATTCTCATTAGTTCCCTTCATGCCCGAACATTCTACGAATAGCGGTTAGAGTCAACTCTCCTCCTTCTTTCCTATAATCTACGCCACTCGTTGTTTTGGTTTAAAGTATCGTTGAGTGTCTTACATGTTGTTTATTTGAGTCGTGTTACGGGCTCGCCAAAATACAAACAACCAATAAGAATACTTAGCGATACTATAAACCAAAGCACCTCACAAACTTTTAAGCGCGCTTTAGCTTTCGTAACACTGGCCCTAGTCCCTGCTGTTCTTTGGGTCGTCACGCAACGATCATCCTCCGTGGACCGTTGCGTGACAACTCAAAGAATGTTCTTGAAGCAGATTCTCCTCTCTGTTCGTCGCTGGAGCCGTTTCGCGAGGAGGAACGGCTGCGACTCAGCGACAGAAATTCCACACTGATGACGCAAATCAATGTTTACATAATAATTCCGGTGGTCATGGGGTTCCAAATACAAATTTGTCCAATTTTACGTGTCTTCTGGTCGATTTTGATAAAGTGTTGTGTTCATCTGCCAACGAGCTCCAGCAAAACTCAAACGCTTCTTCTAGAGAAGAGTATATTCCACAAATATTGACTGTTTTGCTCGAGATTCTTCGTGTTTACATTTGACCTTTGTAGTCTTCTGTCTGTCATTCGTAAACAATAGCTAAAACAATGTAACTACCCTGTCAACCAACAAGCGCTTCTGACCGGATTCCGGACAGATTATACGTCATCAGTATGGAATTTCTGTCGCTGAGTCGCAGACGTTCCCCTGCGCGAAACGTCCCCAGCGGCGAAGAGCGAGGAGAAACGGATGTTTTCGCAGGCTGCGCTGATTTTTGTGTAAAGTTATGTACCTTTTGTGACGACGTTACATTCCAAGAAAAGTACAGCACGTTTCCACTTTGTTTTTTAGTGGCACTTTCAGGTTTGTTAATGACTTCAAAGTTTACAGTGTCTTCGTCCTGCGCAGTAATATTAAACTGAACATTGCCATCAAGCGTTGCATTTATTACATCCGAAGCACTTACTATCACTGGTGGAAAATTTTCTACAGAAAGAGAACAAAATATTGTAGAATATTGTTTTCACGAACCGTCTGTTTCTCGACGATGCCCACAAATATTGACTTTCTTTTCCCTTATAATTTTTACCCTTGGTTTTCCTCATTATTCAAAACAATTCTCTTTCTCTTCCCCGGATGGCTACTGTTTGCCACAATTGTAGATCACCATTAAGATGAATTCAACTAAGATCTTGGTTTTAGGAAATAATAAAGCACAAACACATTAAGGAAACACCTGCCCTTCTCCGTCCGATGTTTTTAAATTGTCAACCACTTCAACCAGGGACAAACATGCCCGAAAACATTTCTGTTACAATTGTTACAATTGCGCCTAACTAGAAACATTGTATCAAATTCCGCTGGCGAAGTAATGTTTGTTTTAGTTTAAAAGGATTAGAAAAAATCGAAACATAACATAAAAGTCGAAAGGTAACATTGGAAACCCTCCAAAGCCACACCCTATGGAGCGGTACATTCCTACTTAGCCCATATATGGTAGTACCCCCCACCCCCCACTACTTAGCAACACAATTCCACGGGTGACTTACCGAGGATGTTTGTTTCGTTCTCAAACTGAGTATTTATATCTTTGGTTACCAGTCCAACGGACACGTCGTTGGTGGCTGCAGCGTCGAATAAGCACTCGATGTTATCTCCACATCGAGTCGTGGCCTCTCTCTCCACAGATGCGTTAAACCACGTTATGTTTTCAATGAACATGGGCAAAAAGTCCGGTTTCGCAAAGGTATCTACGCTTTCATTTTGAGCATACGTAAACAATGACTGAGACTGATTGATTTGCCCTGAGAAAAAGAAAATAAAAGCGTTAAACAAGAAAGATGGGATTTTTTTTCTTCAGTACACGAGGACGAGGCAAGAAAGAAAGTTGCCGGACTAATTAACGTTTAAAGTTTATTGAGAAAGTAGCGCTGAACCTCCACAGGAATTTGATGCTAAAGGTGAAAGCACGCGCACGACACCCTTGCACGACACGCTTAGCGTGCCGTAGATCACGGATATGCGCATATTAAATTGAAAAAACAAAGACGGACACACTTGCCTTTGTTTTGGCAAATTTAACACGCTAGACCTTTTGTTTTTTTGTAGCGTGCCATATGTCACGGTAAGTGTGCGAATTATAGCACGGTTAGCGTGCAATTTGGGTAAGACACGCTGAACACGCTTGATTACTAAAACCGCTAAGATGATAAAAATGGCTCGGGTTTTCAGCGGATTTAATCAGCATTGATAACTGGTTGAAGTGAATCAAATAATCCAATGGAGACTGTTTTGGAATTTGATAGTAACCGTGGCCATTTGAAAATCACGACTTAATGGTGGTCTAGCCTGGAATTAACGCGAGATCAGTGTAAACCAATTCCTCCGGCTGTCGGCTGTTGACTGGAATCGCAAAGAGGCCTGCTATCGCATGCGAGGCACTGAAGTTATGTCGCCTGAAAATTATAGTTATGCCACCGGAATATTTATTAGCAGTAATGCACAGAGAAATGAAGTTGAATAAATTAGTTTAATATATTTCTTTAAGCCATGCTGAGACGAACGAAGGTAATTAAATCGGAGAAACAAAAACTGCCTAGAATTTTCTATAGGTTGAGGAAGGCTAAACATTTCTAGATGACCGTTCCATGCATGTACAATTTTCGAGGGTTATCTAATAAATTCCTTACGATTTTCTGAAGTTTAATTTTTTCCATTTCATTCCCCAGTTAAGCTATTTTTCGTAGAGAATTAAGGAATCCTAAAATTTTCGGAACCGAAAATACGATAAAATTCTCACTTTCCTAAAACTTTCAATTGGAAGCTAAATTTCTCGGGAAAATAATGCTGAACCCCTTGTAATTTCGAAGCGCTATCAATCATAATTTATGTGAAGATATCTCGTTACGCTATGCTAAGACGAATCAAGCGCTGTAAACGTGTACTATATCTCGTTCTTCACAGGACGAAAAAAACAAGAATCTCTGAACTAAAAACACTGTAGAATGAGGGAGGATTGCGGGCGACTTTTCTTTGAATTTTGGGCGACAAAACTCTTATTATCAGGTTTTGGACGACATAACTTCAAACGACATCACTTTCGAGTAGCTTGACCGTCACCCCTTTAGATCGAGCTCGATGAATTAATTCAATGCCCGAACTTTATGGAACAAATGATTGCCTTCAAAGATTTCACGCGGACTACTTTAAATTTAGTTCTTTTTCTCTTTTCTCAGTGTGTGACTGACAGAGATTTAATTCTCGGATCGAACTTTAGTACTCTAAACACACCGTATTATCGTGGCAAAAACAAAGAATCAAACAAAAAAGCACCATACAATTTCGGAATTCTGTTAAAAAATACATTTTTTGCTTACTATTCAAAAAGCGGTGAAACAGTCATTAATTAACTGATGTTTCGCTTTTTGTGTTATTGTCGGCCGGATCAATTAAGCAACGTTGGAAACGTTTTGGAATTTTGGTACATCTAGAAAAGCAGGCTGGTTTTCATTTGATCACTACGATCCTTGCAATCGCTAAAAAATAAATACAATTTAGTGATCCTGGCACTTGATGATTTCTATTATATTTGATCGCGATTGCTGCGATCGGCAAGAAAGTGTCTTAAGTTCGAAAGATCACTGTTTCTGAGAAAATTGCAAATGTGTTTTAAATTAAGGAAAGTTAAGATAACCTTTGCACAGCTTCGTCAGTAAACATTTCTGGAAAGTACTTTGATTTTGCAATGCTAATATAGTTCTACCCATAAATCCAGTAGGTCACACCGTTCACTTTTTATACTTTTCAAGCGACAACGTTTTTTCAATCAGATACTATCGCTGCGATCGCTGAGGAATAACTTTTTCTTTCTCGATAGTTACCAAAAAAGGGTGCCGTTCATAATCATTTACGGTTCCTTTTTGTAGAGGAAATTTATTTAGCTTATAGATAACACGCCTTGCGTGCTTTTGCGCACACTGAAAGCGTGTTGTGCTTTTTCGCACGGAGCTTTTGTTTGAAAACTTTAACACGCTCTTTTGTTCGACTTGCTCACGCTTAATTGTCTCAAGCGTGTCCTCTGAAACAAAAGAAATTGCTAATGAGGCAAGATTGCAAGCGTGCTAAAGCGTGTTAAAATAAATTCTTTTGTTTTAAAGTGAAAGCGTGTCGTGCGCTTGCTTTCACCTTTAGCATTAAAATCCTGTGGAGGGTCACATTTTATATATGTACCTCTTTGAAAAAACGTTGTCGCTTAAACTGAGCATAAATCATGAATGATGTTGCTTCAAGAATTTACGGGTATATGTTCATAAGCAAAGCAAATGAAAGTTCTTTCAACAGCAGCTGCTCGTGCGGATCCAAATCCTAAGAGTACTTTGTTTAAGGCATGCCGTTGTCTTTTATATGTCTTCCAAGAAAGCTTTTAGGTCCTATCTATCATTTTCAAGACTGCGATAGCGATATGGCTACGCTCTTCAACTACAGTGGAACCCCGCCTTACGGCCACCTCGTTATTACAGCCACTCTTTTTCGGCCGGGCAAAGCGGCCATGCATTTCCTTATTAAAAAAATCCGAAAATGCGTTCACCCATTAATACGGTCAACCGCAACATTTTGAAATTCCAAACAGTAGAAACTCTGAATCATTATACGTATCTGGAAAACTGCCCACCTACCCCTCCCCTAAGCCAACATTTAACCCTGAGTGAGAACACTTACTTCGCACTTAAGGTAAAATGTTGGCTTAGGGAAGGGGTAAGTGGGCAGTTTCCCAGAAACGTATAATGATTCAGAGATTCTACTGTTTACGGCCACTTGTTCGAAACTTAGAAAATTAAAATGCCTGTGACATGTCAATTTTATTGACCTACTACTCTGAGCCTGTTCTCGTACTGTTTTTAGACTACAGAACACATAAAGTGCACTTGTTTGGATTTAAAAAGTATTTTCTGTACTGAACGAAAATTTTAGGTGGTTTATTTCAATTGCAGAACACGATATCTACATTCCGTTTGTTTATTAACAAGTCATCAAATTTGAGCCTGCCCAGGTGATACGGCCAAAAGTTTTTGACCGATTGGTGACCGCATTAACGAGGTTCCACTGTACACTGATCTTGACCTTTTCTGGGATGCATCGGCGCGGAAAGCTTCGATAATATAAACTTTTCTGGAAAGAACTTCAAATTTGCAATGCTAATAAAGTTCTATCCATAAATCAATTGGGTCCCATCGGGCATGGTTAAACGACAACGTTTTTTCAGTCAGGTGTATATAATTATGTAATAATAATGATAATGATAATAATAATAATAATAATAATCATTATTATTATTATTATAATCACAAAAGTAAATTATAATTAAAAGTTTTAACTTTGACAATTTTACATGTAGAAGAATGTCAGACCTCAACGAGGTAACATTTGCCATAAAATATCTTCCCATGTCACACCTAGGATGATGACGTCATCAGTCACGTGACTATTTCCGAATTAGGTTTTTTTGTTGCTGTGACTAGATTTCATTATTGAGTTAAAAACAAATAGCATATTTGAGGTTTTGGTTGTGTGAGGCATTTAAAAATAACCAGTTTACGTCCGGGGGTAATGAACATGAGCGAAAAAATCGGGGGACCAGGCCAAGAGCTGTTGATAGTTGACGTTTCATCACATGGCAGAGAAAATTTGCAGGAAACTAAAGGTGATGTTACACGAGACGATTTGCACCGACGACTTTTAGCGCAACAGAGCGTTGCAATGTTGGAACAACGTTGTAACTATTCGCAGCAATGTTGTAACGCTGAGTGTTGCGCTAAAAATCGTCTCGTGTAACATCACCTTAATGTTTTACCTGATAATATTTTTCATAACCAAAAGAGGGACATGACGTCATCAGTCACGTGATCAGAGCGTTTTGAATATTTTAATTCGTTTGTAAAGTACTTTTTTTGCCATAAATTGGCCAGTTTTTGTTGTTTTTCTCTACAAATCTTTACACTATATTACCCCTGAGTAATTATTATTCCGTTTTCAAAGCAGAAGCAAAGGAAACTAAGCCAGAAGTTTAAAAGTTGCGTAAATTGACCGATATTGCAAATTAAAATCGAAAAGGAGAACTACTCTTGAGACTTTGAAATCCTTTCTCAACTTAACTGTTTGTTTGCCGAAATAAATCTTCAACGTTTGTTAATAAAGGAGAACTTTAAAAACCAAAAGGATGTATTTGGCGGCCATATTGTTTTTCTTCATTCCGGGGAGAGAGGTCATGTAGCAGCTCTTCTAACCCTAAAAGCCAAATGGTTTGCTACCCTAACCTAAAACAATGGAAATAATGATGAACAATGTTGTGTTAATGTTTTCCCCGACCGATGAAAAGACACCTTACGAGCAGGGAGAGTTGGTAGCCGCGCGATCTATAGTTCATAAATTTCTTAAACCTTCCTGGCATGGATCAAGCCTGAAAGAGTATTAATGGGTTTATTGTGAGCTTTAATTCTAGCTTCGATCAGTTGAAAAGATTTAATTCTACACGGAAATTAAAAAAAAGAAAACGAAAAAGTCAGTCTTGAAAACTCTCAATCACCATAGAGAAGGAATATATACCTCTTTTAAACTCGAATTGTCAGTGTTTACCGAGGTGGTCCAGTGGATAGAGGTGATAGTTTTTAATTCTGTCTTATTGTGAGGGTCCAATTTCGAATGCCGTTAAGGAAATTTTTCGTAACCGTATTTTTTTTCCTTTTTTCAAAATTCTTTTTTCCCCAGTGTTGTGCATATAGCAAGTAAAATAATGTGGTAAATCTAAAACAAAGTTTACATGAATATAAAAAATCCGGTATGTATCATAGCGTATCTACCGGTATAGTTTGGTAATACTGGACGTTGTTATCATTTCCTAGAGACTGGGAATATTTACAACAACCGGAGTTTAATGCGGCACCATCATATCCGACCTCTGAATCAACTGCCGTATTTAATTACTTTCATCGACTAAAGTAGGTGCTCGGCACTCATAACAAATTCCACGTTTGAAAGGGGCCTAACATGACATAAGTTTCAGCTTAGTGGTTTGAGGGCTGTTATTAAGTTGTTGTTTTCTTTTCAGTAAGAGCAATTCGTATCTCTCCTTGTAAATCCATTTTATTAATCGACTCGTGCCGCGACTTAAGAATGAGCTGTAATAATTGATTTTACTTTCTCTTTGACATGATTTGTACGTCACTGAACATGATTTGTATATCAAAAAGAGCGATCAATTTTCATCCATCTATTTCAATAAAAGCAAATGGAGTCATTTCTCACCATAGCGGACAACCTCGAACCGTGCCTTCGTCGTACAAATATGCAGCACCGAAGAAAGACGAAAAAGCTAACCCTTTTTGATCAAATTATTTTAAGGTTTAAACTCGAAGCTTCATATAGTGATGATTATAATTTACCTTTACCGGTATCACTTGTAATAATAATAAAAATAATAATAATAATACTACTACTACTACTACTACTACTACTAATAATAATAATAGTCCCTGGCAACATCAACATACATGAACTCCAGAAAATAACTCTTCTTTCTACAGCCCACCTTCTCAGGCGGGTCCTCTCTATCAAGTAGAAACTCTCTTTGCCTCCCAAAGTCCATGGTTTGGAGTCGGAAGTTGAGAGAGAAAATAAATCGCAATTACACTAGTATATCTTATATAATAATAACAATAATAATAATAATTACAAATGGTTTTTAAGTAATCTGAAAGGAGAAACAGAGGGACTACTTGTCGCAGTTCAAGACCAGGCAATAAACACCAGAAGCTACCAGAATGTAATATGTGGCCAGCAAGTGGAGAGTAAATGTGTTCGCAACATGAAGAGACAGTGGACCATATTATATCTGGGTGTGAGGTATTAGCCTAAACAGAGTACATCTCCAGGTATAATAATGCTGCAGCATATCCATTGCTCCATTGGAGCATCTGTAAAGATCATGATATCGAGATTACAGACAGATGGTACAACAACAACAACATAACCATCATGTGGGACATGCCAGTCAATACTGATAGAACTATAACAGGAACAGACCAGACACCATTGTTAAAGAGTCAGTGAATTCCACCTGCCAACTGATTGATGCTGACTGTTCCATCAGATGGAAACATCGCACTGAAGGAAATCGAAAAGAAAAGCAAGTACAAAGACCTAGAACTAGAAATACAAACAATGTGGCATATGAAAACCGTTGTGATCCCTGTGGTTGTTGGTGCACTTGGTACAGTAAAGAAGGGGATGGTAGAAAAGATCAAGAAAGTATCAGAGGGAGCTACTGTGACAGAGATCCAAAAGATCTGCGTGCTGGGATCTGCGCGAATCCTCAGAAAGGTCCTCAGTGTATGAACAGAATGATTGACTTGAGTGACTGATGCTCCAGGTGCATTGTTTGCGCCCGGCTGATGCACGAAAAGAACACCAGCAAAGACTATCATAGAAGAGACAATAATTTATTTAATTATTTATTTATTTATTACAATTTAATGGCAAATAAATCTAAATGTACGCACAGACAAAGCCCTAAGGATAATCTGTAAAAGAGTGGAACACTCCATGCGAGACAGATCACCATGTAGCTAATCTAAATAAAAAAATAAATATGTAATAAAAATCAGAAAAATATTAAATCAAATATAAAAACATTAAAAACTGTTTTCATTCCTGACTTAAAATAATAACAACTGATTGATGCTGACTGTGCCATCAGATGGAAACATCGCACTGAAGGAAATGGAAAGGAAAGGCAAGTACAAAGACCTAGAACTAGAAATACAGAGAATGTGGCATATGAAAACCGTTGTGATCCCCTGTGGTTGTTGGTGCGCTTGGTACAGTGAAGAAGGGGTTGGTAGAAAACATCAAAAAATTATCAGAGAGCTACTGTGACAGAGATCCAAAGATCTACATGCTGGGGTCTGCACGAATCCTCAGGAAGGTGCTCAGTGTATGATGATGCACAAAAAGAAAACCAGCAAAGACTGTGACAGAAGAGATAATAATAATAATAATAATAATAATAATAATAATAATAATAATAATTATAATAATTATAATAATTATAATAACAACTCACATTTAACGCCAAAGTCGAAGTGAATTTCCCTTGAGGTTGAAGATGGAGACAATACCGTCCCATTAGGCAATGTGAAGTCGTCAGTAGGATCATCATTCCAAGTACCCAGTAACCCGCTGGTGCTGTTTCTGTAATCTTCGCTAAGAGTAACCACAAAGGACAGCATTTCTCGTTTCTCGCAGAACTGCACGGACGTTGTTGAGGGAAAATAAACCTCTACACAGTTTGCTTCTGGTTTCGAGAAAGAAAGGTTTCCGCCGACATCTATGGTTTGATTCGTCAGGTTGGCGTAGTTAGGGTAAATTGTTTCTTCAATCAAAATGTCGATTCCACCTAAAAAAATAAAACGTTTGAAAGTCATTAAGCTTTTGGATATTCAAAAAGGCTGAATCGTTGAGCACACAGTGAGCAAAGTGTGAATTTTGTGGCCTCAGTGTGACCGATCAGAAAAGAATAATCAGGTCATTCAGTCAATCTGACTGCTCCTGTGTATCAAAGCATGTCTCACCTCCTTTCTTGACTTTTACTTCAACGATGCTTGTGTTTTCTTCTTTAGCAGCACCGGCTGAGAAAATTGTGGCATTAGTTGAATTTTGTTGGGCAAGGCGTGTCCTAGCTTGTAATTGGAATACCCCATCTCGTGCATCGATCATTACATATTCACCAAGGCCGTTGAACGTATAATTCCCACCATCTAGTGTCTTAAAATGAGGATCACCCCAGAACCAACCTGGAACAACATAGCAAGTTATTAAGGGATTAAATGAGGAGAAACATAGTACTCGACCTTTTAAAAGCTTTAGCTCTTAAGATACTGCACAGCTCCTGGTAGTAAACGTGGTTTTGGGCAGTGAAGGAAATACGCGAAATGCATTTTGAGCATGAATTATGCTAAAAATACATTGACGATGTAAATACATTGGTACATTTCACAAATTTGAACATTATAATTGTCTCCAAAAAATATAATTTGTAATAAAACAGCTTTAGAAATGTCTCAGAGTCTCTCTGTAGATTCAGACGCTGCACTTTTACCGTAGTTAATTCATCAGTTAGGTTCGGCACATGAGTAGAGCGCCGTCTAAACCGGGCTTGACTTTCTCGGAAATAAATGATATATTGTTATTTTCCTGTAATCCGAATTGCCAACTTTGTCTAGGTGGCCCCGATTATAGTAATCGCACTGAAGCTTCTAAGCATCAGTTTCTAGAGATTTTAAACAATTTTTTTAGGCTCTAGATACGAAAAAAATTAACCTCGATACTCTCTTTTCAGCCTCCAATAGTACTAAATAAGGGGTAGCACAACAACAAAAACTTACGTCTCCTACGAGGTCTGTAAAAAGAGCAATCATCACTTGGGCGATAAAAGTAATATTCATTGCACAAATCTGGATCAGCACAGCAAAATGTTTCGGCGTCTTTGTCTGTTGTAACCTCTCTCACGCTAAAAAGTCGTTCCGCTATAACGTGACTTCCGTCGGGGGGACCAGTTATAAGGAAACCAAGGTCACTGAAAGGGCTCGAGTAACAGCAGAGTTGTCTTATCCGGAAAACGACAAAGCCAAGATCATCACTGATATGAAAAAAGAACCTAGAACTTCTGGATCTAAAACAAAAGTTTGAAGAAGAGTATGAAAAGTCCAGAAAGAATCGTCCCCTGTCCAGAAGTGCCTGCCATATAGTGCACGGACATGCCAGACGCCGATTAAAACGTCGAGATCGAAACTGCTGAGCATACCAAGACCTAAAATTCACGTCGTCTTGAAAAGTAATCCAATCGATGCACTTTTTTATGTCACTGTCTCTTTCCTGGTTTTCTATTCTCCAAAAATATCTGCCCAACGTGCCTGTATTTCCAATCCTGTTGTCCAGGTTATACATTCCTAGCAAAGAACCTGACCTGTATAAAACAATAGTATAATATTTTGTGTCTATCAAATGTTTAGCGATCACAAAAAAGTTGATTTTCTTAAAATAACATTTATTTGGTTACAACACTTGTAATGAAAGTTCTAAAAAGTTGAATATTACAGCACAACACAACAAGCCACTCCAGGAACTAGCAAAAAATTGAACAGGAGATAGTGTGGCCGAGTGGTTAGCCCAAAGGAGGCCCCCAGTCCAAGTCTTGCCCTGATCGCTGGCTGGAATTGTTTACGGTAATCCCGACTTCAGATCCTCCACAAACCTGCGTGCATTGCCTCCGGTCAGTTGTCGCTATTAACCCTATTATGTTTGGTTGATATTATTTCAGGCATTGCTTGGCCCCACTATACTTTGCGCTTTAAAGGCTGTCTCGAGTAAATAAAGCAGTTATTGTCATTAATGCTTGAGTTTGGCAATATTTCAAGTAATTTGTAATGTCACGTGATATGTCATGTGACCATATGCCAAAAAATCTTTAATTTTAGACCAAATGGTGACCGGTTTAAAAAATAGAAATCGAGCGATAGCATTTTTCTAATTCTTATTAAATATCTCTAACACTTCATGCTTGGAATGATCGTCCATTGCACTTCAATAAAAAATTTAGAGGGTAAATTTAATCTTGAATTATTTAAAACTTTGATATTAAACTTCGCGTACATTCATTCCAAACATAATAGTTTGGTATGTTTATCCTCTTTCAGAAATGCCAATTTGTTTATCCAAACAAAGTAAATTCGCCACGATGAATTCGCTAATTTCCTTCATTTTCACTTTTGGTCACGTTTCATGTCAGGTGACAAAAAGTAAACGTGAAGGCACAAGAAAACCTCAAGATTTACTTTTAGGGAAAAATTAGTTTTTTTCTAGGTCTTCTAGGGAGAGATATTGCCAATCATTCATATGCTTCGAACATAACTTTGACCCAGGCCTTAAACCCCATACCATTAGTATGGGATCATGGAATCATCATACCATTAGTATGGTAATTACGGGCACGGAGGGCGAAAACAAGCATGGTGACCCCATCTCTTTATTACAGTGCCCTATACACATGTATATGGGTTTCAATTGTGCCAAGTTTGGAGAAAATGTGGATAGTACATCCTTTTCAAGGGAAGAGAATTGCATACATAATGTGCCAAATAGAGACCCAGTGATGGAGCATTTTAACATCGTTGAAGTCCGTATTTTCTACCCCTTTTAAAAGGTATGGCTTACGTATACATGCATATATATGAAAGAGTACATACATTAACCTGAACCTTTATTTTGAACAAAAGGGTATAGGGCATGAGAAGTATTGCAATAAATTAAAGATAAATTAAATCTTTGTTTAAAAGCAATCAGATTGCCACAGGAAAGTTTCTCCAAATAAAGAGAGCTTTTGAAAGATACGTTCATTTCCTTGTCGTGACTTATTGTCAAGTCGTGAAGGAAAAGAGAGCATTCCGTGGATTCCACTCTAACAGAGTTTCTCCCAGGTAAATACAAGTACACTGTAGTTGATTTTTATCTAACATTTTGTCACTGTTGAGCTTTTACAGAAAAATAATTTACTGCAGGGTAACTAGCCTGTGTCGCAAGCGTAATTCAAGTCCCCGGTTAGTAACGTCTGCGAAGCATCGCTGATATCCTTGTTCTGGGCCCCAACGGAATCAACGAATTACCGAAAGAGCGTTTCGAATTTCCTTCACCTTGATGGGCAAATCGACGATGGAATTTTGAACAGGTTACTTATGGCGCGTACTCAAATCCCAGTACACAGGTGGGTGGCCAGAAGAAGGATTTCGGCGCTGTTTCACAGACAGACTTAAACAGAGTTTAGTTTCGTCTGCGGCGCAGGCCACATGGTAACTAGCACGCCTCACCCTTCCAAGTTGAGATTGTGAATGCCTTCAGCGCTCCATCCGGCTACTGGAATACCATACACATCTGTCCATTCAGCATATTCAGATCTTCAGGAAAGATAATTGCCAATTATAAAATAACAACGATAGTTCGCGCGTTCTGATTGGTTAAAAACCTATGGTTTATTATACAGGTAAACTCATAGAAAACTCAAAGTTATTTTATAAAAGCAATAGACCACACTTTCTATGGGTTTACCAGCGTGATAACAGACTTGGGATGTTGGGAGAACACTAAAAAAGCTTGTAAATCACTCGACTTCGGCTCGTGATTTACAAGCCTTTCTCATGTTCTCCCAAAAGAGCGTGGGTTATCACGCCGGTAAACCCATAGAAAGTGTGGTCTATTGCTTAAATGTATCCCAATCGTGATACATTACAGCACGTGATCAAAGCATGTTAGAAAGTGACGTGACAGAAGGCGGGAAAAACAGTGCCAGGTCCTGCCACTGGCTGCCAGTTTTCTTTTTCGTGAATGAACACAACAACAACTTGAAGCCTCAAGCTAAAAAGCAACGCTTTTCAAAGTTATCCCAGAAGAGAAACAGCAGCTAGTGGAGGAAAAAGATGCAGATAATATAAGGAAAGTACTTTGTAAATCATTCCGTATGGTCTTATAAGTAGCGAGTCGACTGTTTTGATTCTCTCCGCTCAAGCGTATTCTTTTGTTGCTGTTGAAGTACGTTGAAGTGAAAGTCTAGAAATAATTAACAAAACACTTAATGTCAGGTCCCTCTGGAAACCAGTTAGTTTTGCTTTCCCTCGAGTCCTGATTTTTCCAACATCAGGACTCTCGCGAAAACAAAAACTGTTTCCCTCGTTATCTGACATTAAGTGTATATTATTACATTTCTTTGACTATTGAATATGAATTGATCCAACGTTTAAACTGAATTAAAAAGTATTTTAATATTAAAACAAAACCTAGCAACCCAGAGCAGGAAGGCACCAAAGTCCCACAAAGACACTAAAAACAGCCTAAAAGCCACAAAAATAACAACAAAGAAGTGCTCCCTCTAAACATTTCAAGCTCACTTAACAGCAGTAACCTAGTGATGTGTAAGGCGTCTCATGAAAGTTCGACGTCCGGCTTAGAACGTCGAACTTTCATGAGACGAACCAAATTTTAGTTTGGGTCGAACTAAATTAAGTGACGATCGTCTGTCCGGTCAGACTTCGAACTTAGAACGCGTCGAACCAATCAACTGAATCAGACCAAAAAGCAATGCTAATAAATTTTCTCCCGAACGAGGTTAAATAGCATTTACTTTACTAGTCTAGTTCGTTGCATGTGAAGATCAACGTTTGTCCCGGAGATGGTCTTCAGACGTTCTATCCAGAGGAAGCAGACGGACAGAACGTGTTGGGCGATCCAAACTCATTCAGACGAAATTAACTGAGCCAGACGTCGAATTTTTCACTAAGTTTGGTTCGTCTCATGAAAAGTTCGACGTTTGGCCTAGGCCTTTGATCTTTATACATGTATGTATGTCTTACACAGGAGCATTAACTGTCCACTCGATTCCTCCTGAAGGGTAGTTGTACATGAGAAACGTATTACCCCAGTCTGTTATGATGACTGCTTGAAAAGTGTTCCTCTACAAAACATAAAAGCCAGGACATTATTTTAGCCAGTGGTACAGCGATAAATCTTTAACCTGTTCATAGCTAAGGGCAGTGGTTTTGTCCAAAGGTTCGGGCATTTTCGACGTCTTGACATCCCTATAAACAATGTAGAGCTAGGAAGATTTAATAAACTGTAAACAACTTTGTAGCAAGTTAAATGTTACATGAAGATGATGTGAACTGCGAAAATACAATTTTTTAACGGAGATATGACTGTCACAGTGGTAATTGCAATTTAAGCAATGGCAAATAAATCCGAAAAGAATTCCGGGACTTCAACGGAATTCGAACCAATGATCTCGTAAGACTTAACTGACTGGATTCAATTAAACTGTGCTAGCAAGTTAAAAAGAACCCATAGGCAATCACACTTTCAAACACTCATTCAGTCACTCTGCACTCAGAAAATGAGTGGGGGCCGACAAGCAAGCTTAAGCAAGATTATTTTAAAACGGGGAGGCTACGCTCGAAAGGGGTACCTTTGTCAGTCTTCGGGTAAATATCAAAGCGTAGGGATTTCATCAATTGAAGTATATGAAGTGATAGAACTGGTCTGTCATGTCGGTCTGTAAATAGGCCCAAATGGGCCAACAGATGCATTTTATAATTGCGAAAAAGCCGAGAAAACGTCCTGTTTAGTGATTATTCGTATTTACTTATTCAGTGAATTTTACAGCAGATAAAAGGGATGCAAAGTTCTAAACTAGGTATGTGAATGGCGTAACATTTGTCAATGGCAAGTACAATAAAAACGACTAATAACGACAGTAAGTACGATTAATAGCCGCATTTTCCCAAGTTAGCATAAGCAGGTTCTTACATAAATGGTAATTAGAACAAATTTAGGCCATGTAGGTTCTTAAATTGCTTCTTATTTTCTGAAGAAAAAGCACGTTGAGGCTAAGAGTATTTAGTCTTATATTCAGCTTATTGCTTATATGAAATCTGCATCCAATACATTGTAGTGGGAGTGATCATCAGGACATTTATGTCTGCAAAGAGGACTCTGAATGTTGACTTATCTTATTTTCCCAAGCGTGCAGAATTTTTTTTGATATAGATTTTAGAAAATAAAAACCTGTTTCAAATTTAGGCTAAACAGGTTCTGGTATGGAGAGGGACTAATTGACGACTTTTAGTCTAACATGTTCTTACAAAACAGGTTCTTAGTTGCGGGTTATTACAGTATAAGAAAGGGGCACCTTTGTTGTCAAAAATAGAATATTGAAAGGTAAGGCTTGGACCTCAGGGCGGAGCCTTCCTGTATAAATCTTTGTTGAGTATCCTCCTCCTCCCCCCCGGAATACTTTATTTAAAAAAAACTGGAAGGTATAGTCACAAATTATAAGACGAATTATCTAGTAAATGCCATTCTGAAACTGAAATGAAACTGGCGATGAATTTTAACACAAGCCGTCAATTGCATGACCTGCACGCTACTCCCCCTGCCAGTTATGGGCGAAACGGGACAAGGATCTTGTCACTGTTTCCACGATCATGTTGGAAATATGTTGAGGATATTTGAAAAATGATAATAAAAAAAACTTCTAAGACGTGGTCGCTATTTTAATCTCGCCAATCATTCCACCCAAAAAACATGGCAATCTGAAGTCTCTATGTTCACCAAACGAAGGCATAAGGTCAAAAAGAATTGTGGCAAAAAATGTCTTTCAAAATAGTGCACTTAATCCCCACCCAATCAACAAGCGCTTCCCATTCAACTAAGTTTGTCTTGTTTCTCACGTTACCATTTTCCCGCCAATAAAATAGATCCAACACCTGGTATAGAAAATGGCGAAGACGCTAGTCCTTCGTGCGCGGAACATATCTGCAGCGACGAAAGAACAAGGAGAGACGGCGCTATTTGCAGACTAGTACAGGACTAACAAAGCAATCAATCAATATTAATGTAGTACAGCGAGCGAAGTTTTAAAGTCCTTGTCACGGTTTTGAAAGCCATCTTGACGAGTAGGTAACCGCTTGAGAAATTACAGTGTTTGTATGAGGAGAATGTAATGTCGAATAATTTGAGTAAAACAGCTGTTCTGAAAAAAAAAAACTGAACTGTAAACTAAAGCTACAGCAAAGGATTTTACTAACAAATTTTGGGGTCGTAAATGTGCTTAAATTTCTCCAGACGCTTGTATTAGATTTTCCATATATTTGCCTGCAGTTTTTCCCGGGAAATGTTAGTCCAAAGGAAGAAAAATGTTTACAGACAAAAAAGAATACAAAAGTTGTTCTAGCGCATGCAGCTGCATATAACACCCTCAATTTTTATCGGTAGGACCGTTAGGAGTGAATCTTTCGTTAAAAAATTCATATTTTTTTCAGAAAAGCCGTTTTACGGAAATTATTCGACATTAGATTCTTATACGAAAACCGTGACAAGGTGTATTCGAAAACTAATCATCAATCTAAAGTTGCTGAATTAAAGAGCTTACTGTTTGGAGCATCTAAAATAGGCATGAAAAACGGTCAAACCACCGACCCAAAAGCTAGCGTTTGTTCCAAAGAATGACAGTGCGTAAGAAAAAGGTCTGAAAAATGTAATTAATGTGAAAATCATAACTTACCAAACTACAACGTTCTGTACATTCGTCGTAAGGGCAGACATTTACCCAAGTGACGACCAGAACCCAAGTGGCTTCAAAGTTTCTAAATTTTTCATCGTTAGTGTAATTCTGAACATAACGTGAGGCCAGACGGAGTATGTTACTTGTTTGATCCGTTTTCTGGTTGCTTTGCTCGTAAGCGTGATGATAAACCTTGGAAATTCCTGTGTTAAATGCTCTATGTTCCACCCTGGCCCAGAATGGTGCAATGAATGCATTTGAACGAAGCCATCTGTAAATACCAAACTTCTGGGGCCACCGCACACTCCATCTTTCGTTAAACTGGATTTTACCATTGAAACATATCTAGCAAAGCAGGAGAAGTGATACCCATGAGTGATATTTTAGGCGAATTTAATTGTTATATAAATTGATGTCGATTTGAATAGAATAAGGTTTAGTTTTGTCTAAGAGTATGTGATTTTCGAAGAAGCTATTATGAAATTTTTGGGCGTCGATAGGAATTGTATTAACATCACTGTGTTTAAATATCTAAAGTAAAAGACTGTGAATTGTTACATAACCACTAATGAAATACCAGGTGAGCTTTAGCGCGAAAACTTGATACTGATCTTCAGACTTGTAAAGATCACCGTTGCCATGGCTACATAATAAACCGCACCTTTCGCGGCCAAATGATATCAAAGCGAAATAGCTTGGTATCTCATTGGTGTTTGTATAAAAAATAGAACAATACATGGCCGCTTGGAGATACGAATATTCTCTTTGAGTAATCGAGAATATTTCACTCGTTCGCTTAAGACTCAAGAAGAAATTTCGTATCTCCGCGCGGATATGTAAGATATCCTCTTTGTAAATAGTTTGACAAGTGGGATTTTTGCTCCAGTTATAACCGTCTGTTTCTTTATCTGTTTTAAGAAACAAGTCAATTAAAGCACTTAACAGTCCCCTAGCTTATCGAAAGCTACAAAGATGCCGTTTGGCTTTTTTTCCCGGTACTAAGAGAGACGTGTCTTGTTTATTTGTGTATAAAATTAGATACAAATATGAAGAAAAATCTGAACACATGAAGGAAACGTAGTAAAAACCTTGAAGTAGGATATATAGAAAAAGGAGGGGCCCAAAATCCAAGACCCCTGCAGCCCTTTAGACAGCAATAACAATTAGACCGATACCTACATTCAGTCTGAAACGTCTCCTCTGGAAGAATTCAAATCCAAAACGGCCCGCTCTAATACTTTGGCAGATCACTTCGTCATTACAAGATGGTTCCGCTATGAGCTCAGCATCATTCTCCGGTGGCCCAAACGGAAAAAGATTGCTCGCAGGTGCAATTGCTTAAAAGGAGAAAGAAAAAGTGCAATAAAAAGGCAATTTTAACTTTAAGCGAGTGTGCTTCGTGTGACATTTAGCTTTCCTTCTATGAAGGCTTAAACCACACTTTTCATTAGGCTGGTTGATAAACAATTTCACCATGCACAACGTCTCAACAATAGTAAATATGTAAATATGAATAAGTAAATATGTTGTAGACCTACAATCTCCAATAATCCTATTTTAAGATTACTTCAACTATCTTTTTTGTTCCAATCTGCTATAGTGGGGCTTTTCTGTTAAAATATAACTCGCCAATTGCGGGTGCATAGACATGGACGTAGAAGTACTCCATTTAGATACGGTTAAAAACATCAATATTTGAAGATAATGAAAACCTAAAATTCTAGTTTTCGTTTTTGCCGTGTGGGTACCCATTGATGAATGATAGACATTTATTCCATCTTTAAACCTTGTAAGGTTTAATGGCTTCGTAATCCTGACTGATGGTAGTCCATCCCAAAGAGCAGCCCCTGAATACAAACAACTGAGCTTAAGAAAGCTACTGCTTGGTTTGGAAACTTGCACGATGTTCTCAGAGTGACAGATATTGTAAAAAAAATGTCACGAGCAGAGAACATATCGTAAATGTGTGTGTGTGTGTGTGTGTGTGTGTGGGGGGGGGGGGGGGACATTTGCTTCTTTAGCGTTTTGAACATGATAACCGCCCTTTCTTTGGTCAAATAACTGAACCCTATCACATCAAAGCAAGAAAAGGATCTATACTAGCGTCATATCTAAATTTGGCAATTACGGTAGCCTCGCAGTTTTATAATTTTTGAAGTTTATCGTTCAAAGTGTCGATGAGACCATACCATACACTGTAGCAGTACATAAAATGGGGATCAAGTAAGGTCTTATTTATTTTTGCTGCCGAGAATGCGTAAATGATTGTTTGGTCTCCAACGTTTCAAGGCGCTGATTCCTGACAATCTTTTTTAAAATATTTATGATATGCTCGCACAAGGAGAGGGTCTCGTCAATTGTTAGTCCAAGAGACTTTGAAAGACAACTCTTGACTTCGTTGCTCTCGATATGTGCACTGATGGAATATATATTAAGGTTACACTTGTTAGCTCTTAGCCAAGAGTTAACGTTGACTACCTAAGTGATGATCATTGTTTTAGATCATAGTGGATAAAAAGCCGATACTACTGACATCCACATACATTCCAGCAATGCACTTGTTAAAATAGTTTGGCAAATAAGAAGAGGTCATGAACCAATAAAAAAACTTAAAGAAAACAGTAAGATATTTCACAAGGGGAAAATGGATGGCCATTAAAGCAACATTCTAGAATCCTAGAAAAAAGGTAGGAAGGAAAACAACTGACTACATTTCAGACCAGGTCATATTTGACAAAATTATAGATGACAATTACGTGGTCAATTGTGTCTAAGGCAACACATCCAAAACACAACATAATAAAAAAACAAATACCAGCTCTTACTGGGAGTTGAAGGTAAAATCCTTGAACTAGCAGTTATAGAAATGCTTTGACTAAATGAAAAACTGGCTGACACGCTAGCAGAGGTAAAGGCAGAGAAACTTGGCGAAAAACTGGGCGATGTCGAGATCGAGGCACTAATCGACACACTAGCTGACACGCTAGCAGAGTTGGAGGCCAAAACACTGGTCGACACACTGGCTGACAGGCTAGCAAAGGTGGAGGCAGAGACACTTGGCAATAGACTGGTCGATGGGGAGATCGAGGAACTGGTCGACATACTGGCTGATACGCTAACGGAGGTGGAGGCTGACGCACCGGTCGACACACTGAATGACACGCTAAAAGAGGTTGAGGCCGAGACTCTTGGTGATACACTGGTCGATGTCGAAGCCGAGGCACTGGTCGACAAACTGGCTGTCAGAGTAGCAGAGGTTGAGGCCGAGATACTTGGCGACACACTGGGCGTTGTGGAGGGTGAGGCACTAGTCAAGACACTGGCTGACACACTAATAGACGTTGAGGGCGAGATACTTGGGGATACACTGGTCGATGTGAAGACCGAGGCACTGCTCGAAGCACTTCGTGAGAAAGTAGCAGAGGTTGAGGCCGAGATACTTGGCGACACACTGGTCGATCTGGAGCCCGAGGCACTGCTTGATACACTGCCTGAAACTGTAGCAGAGATGGAGGCAGATATACTTGCCGAGACACTGGGGGATGTAGAGGCCGAGTCACTGCTGGAAGCACTGGCTGACACACTAGCAGAGGTTGAGGCCGAGAAACTTGGTGATACACTGGTCGCTGTTGACGCCGAGACGCTGGTCGACATACTGGCCGACAGACTAGCAGAGGTTGCGGTAGAGACACTTGGCGACACACTGGGCGATAAGGAGAGCGAAACACTGTTAGACACACTGGCTGAAACGCTATTAGAGGTGGAGGCCAAGAAACTGGTAAACACACTGGTTGACACGCTAGCAGAAGTGGAGGCGGATACACTTGCCGAAACACTGGGCAATGTAGAGGTCGAGTCACCGGTCGACACACTGGCTGACACACTAGAAGAGGTTGAGGCCGAGGCATTTGGCGATACACTGGTCGATGTGAAGGCCGAGGCACTGCTCAACACACTCTCTGAGAGACTAGCTGAGGAAGAGGCCGAGATACTTAGAGACACACTGGTCGATGTGGAGGCTGAAGCACTCCTCGACGCACTGGCTGACACGCTAGTAGATGTGAAGGCGGATACACTTGCCGATAGGCTGGGCGATGTAGAGGCCGACACACTGGCTGACACAATAGCAGAGGTTGAGGCCGAGGTACTTGGCGAGACACCGGGCGATGCGGAGGCCGAGGTACTTGGCGAGACACCGGGCGATGCGGAGGCCGAGGTACTGATCGACACTCTGGCTGACACGCTAGCAGAGACTGAGGCAGAGACACCTGGTGACACACTGGGCGATGTGGTGGCTGAGGCACTGGTCGACACACTTTCGGACACGCCTGTAGAGATGGAAGCTGATGCACTTGTCGACACACTGGCTGACACGCTAGCAGAGGTGGAGGCCGAGACACTTGGTGATACACTGGTCGATGTCGAGGCCGAGGCACTGTTTGACACACTGGCCGTCAGAGTAGCAGAGGTTGAGGCCGAGATACTCGGGGATACACTGGTCGATGTGAATGCCGAGGCACTTCTCGAAACACTTCGTGAGAGACTAACAGAGGTTGAGGCCGAGATACTTGGCGACGCACTGGTCGATCCGGAGCTTGAGGCACTGCTAGATACACTAGCTGAAACACTAGCAGGGATGGAGGTGGATACACTTGCCGTCACACTGGGCGATGTAGAGGCCGAGTCACTGCTCGAAACACTGGCTGACACAGTAGCAGAGGTTGAGGCCGAGATACCTGGGGAGACACTGGGCGATGTGGAGGCCGAGGTACTTGTCGACACATTGGCTGACACACTAGCGGAGGTTGAGGCCGAGATACTTGAAGAGACACTGGGCGATGTGGAGGCCGAGTCACTGGTCGACACACTGGCTGACAGGCTAGGAGAGGTTGAGGCAGAGACACTTGGCGACACACTGGGCGATGTGGAGAGTGAAACACTGTTTGACACACTGGCTGAAACGCTAGCAGAGATGGAGGCCGAGTCACTGGTTGACACAGTGGCTGGTACGTTAGCAGAGGTTGAGGCAGTGACACTTGTTGACACACTGGCTGACACGCTAGCAGAGATGGAGGCCGCGACACTTGGTGATACACTGGTCGATGTGGAGGTCGAGGCACTGGTCGACGCACTGGCTGAGAGACTAGCAGAGGTGGAGGCCGAGATACTTGGCGACACACTGGCCGATGTGGAGGTCGAAGCATTGGTCGACACACTGGCTGACACGGTAGGAGAGTTGGAGGCCAAAACACTGGTCGACACACTGGCTGACAGGCTAGCAAAGGTGGAGGCAAAGACACTTGGCAATAGACTGGTCGATGGGGAGATCGAGGAACTGGTCGACATACTGGCTGATACGCTAACAGAGGTGGAGGCTGACGCACTGGTCGACACACTGAATGACACGCTAAAAGAGGTTGAGGCCGAGACACTTGGTGATAGACTGGTCGACGTCGAAGCCGAGGCACTGGTCGACAAACTGGCTGTCAGAGTAGCAGAGGTTGAGGACGAGATACTTGGCGACACACTAGGCGTTGTGGAGGGTAAGGCACTGGTCGAGATACTGGCTGACACACTAATAGACGTTGAGGCCGAGATACTTGGGGATACACTGGTCGATGTGAAGACCGAGGCACTGCTTGATACACTGCCTGAAACTGTAGCAGAGATGGAGGCAGATATACTTGCCGAGACACTGGGGGATGTAGAGGCCGAGTCACTGCTGGAAGCACTGGCTGACACACTAGCAGAGGTTGAGGCCGAGAAACTTGGTGATACACTGGTCGCTGTCGACGCTGAGGCGCTTGTCGACACACTGGCTGACAGACTAGCAGAGGTTGTGGCAGAGACACTTGGCGACACACTGGGCGATAAGGAGAGCGAAACACTGTTAGACACACTGGCTGAAACGCTATTAGAGGTGGAGGCCGAGACACTGGTGGACACACTGGCTGACACGCTAGCAGAAGTGGAGGCGGATACACTTGCCGAAACACTGGGCGATGTAGAGACCGAGTCACTGGTCGACACACTGGCTGACACACTAGCAGAGGTTGAGGCCGAGGTATTTGGCGACACAATGGTTGATGTGAAGGTCGAGGTACTGCTCAACACACTGTCTGAGAGACTAGCCGAGGAAGAGGCCGAGATACTTGGAGACACACTGGTCGATGTGGAGGCTGAAGCACTGCTCGACGCACTGGCTGACACGCTAGCAGATGTGAAGGCGGATACACTTGCCGACAGACTGGGCGATGTAGAGGCCGACACACTGGTCGACACACTGGCTGACACACTAGCAGAGGTTGAGGCCGAGGTACTTGGCGAGACACCGGGCGATGCAGAGGCCGAGGTACTGGTCGACACTCTGGCTGATACGCTAGCAGAGATTGAGGCAGAGACACCTGGTGACACACTGGGCGATGTGGTGGCTGAGGCACTGGTCGACACACTTTCGGACACGCCTGTAGAGATGGAAGCTGACGCATTTGTCGACACACTGGCTGACACGCTAGCAGAGGTGGAGGCCGAGACACTTGGTGATACACTGGTCGATGTCGAGGCCGAGGCACTGTTTGACTTACTGGCTGTCAGAGTAGCAGAGGTTGAGGCCGAGATACTCGGGGATACACTGGTCGATGTGAATGCCGAGGCACTTCTCGAAACACTTCGTGAGAGACTAACAGAGGTTGAGGCCGAGATACTTGGCGACGCACTGGTCGATCCGGAGCTCGAGGCACTGCTTGATACACTAGCTGAAACACTAGCAGGGATGGAGGCGGATACACTTGCCGTCACACTGGGCGATGTAGAGGCCGAGTCACTGCTCGAAACACTGGCTGACACAGTAGCAGAGGTTGAGGCCGAGATACCTGGGGAGACACTGGGCGATGTGGAGGCCGAGGTACTTGTCGACACATTGGCTGACACACTAGCAGAGGTTGAGGCCGAGATACTTGAAGAGACACTGGGCGATGTGGAGGCCGAGTCACTGGTCGACACACTGGCTGACAGGCTAGGAGAGGTTGAGGCAGAGACACTTGGCGACACACTGGGCGATGTGGAGAGTGAAACACTGTTTGACACACTGGCTGAAACGCTAGCAGAGATGGAGGCCGAGTCACTGGTTGACACAGTGGCTGGTACGCTAGCAGAGGTTGAGGCAGTGACACTTGTTGACACACTGGCTGACACGCTAGCAGAGATGGAGGCCGGGACACTTGGTGATACACTGGTCGATGTGGAGGTCGAGGCACTGGTCGACGCACTGGCTGAGAGACTAGCAGAGGTGGAGGCCGAGATACTTGGCGACACACTGGCCGATGTGGAGGTCGAAGCATTGGTCGACACACTGCCTGACACGGTAGGAGAGGTGGAGGCCGAGTCACTGTTGACATCTGTTGGTTTAAGGGTTTTAGCGTTTTAGTTTATGCTGCTTTCTCCCTCGTTAGGTATTTAGAAGGAATCAATTTTGTTGTGAAACTACATCCTTATTTGAAATGTTTGTTGAGCAGTGTTTTGTTTGGATTAGAAAGCGTTTGCAACTTAAGACGTTAGTGGGTATTTCGTTTGTTTGTTTGAGTTGTGGGTCTTTCTTTTACTTAAAAGTGCGTAATTTTGTTTTGTTGACCCTATATAATTTTGTATTTAGTGGGGCTCGATCGAGTATTTTGTAAGGCAAAACTTTCCCATTCGAACTTCTGTTACCTTCACAGCTTGCTATCCATAATACCACATGGATTACTGATGATTATATTTAACTATATTTTATTGGTATATACATTTGAAAATAGTAGCGCCTTTAGTGTGAAATCGTTGTGCAATCTCAGAGCATTACTTGTACTATGGTACAGATGGGCACTGAGACTGTGTTTTTGCTATTTGATAAATGAAGCTTAGAAAACGATTGTAAGTAAATAAATACAACATTTTAACACATTTCTTTTCATGATCTGTTTTCGAATGAAACTACGAATACGAAAACGGAAAGCGCTCTCTTCTTTGTCGTACTTATTGTCGGAGCTTAGATACTTACCTACAGCTGTCTTTGAAAAGCTTGTGATTTTGAAATTGTTTTTATTTTCTTACTCTGGCAACCACTGAGCGACATTAATTAGCCTCTTTCGATCAGAGTTTAGTATGTTAAATAAAACCTCGTCATGATCCAACTAAAAGTTGGCCAGCACTAAAAAACACCTACACCTTGTTTACTAAAACCAATTGTAAAGGACCATAAAACGTAGATTTTACCTTTTAAAACAAGCCACGCTAAAAAGAAATGTATTTTCAGCTGTCATTTTCCTACGATTTCCTAAATTTGCGATTTAAACAGTTCGTTTTAGTTATTTTCAGAGAAAGGAAGAACAGAAAGGCAACTGAGGCAACTGGGAGTAAGACCCAACACTTCCTCGTTTATAAGATCCCGGTGAACGTAGTCCTGAATAGGACTTTCGTTCACAGTGACTGATGTTTCGAAAACCTTGAGGTAGTCATCTTCAGAGTCAAAGTAAGTTGTATCATGTCAGTTGATGGTACCAAACTCTGCTTATTGACCTGATTGGTCAATTAAGTCGCGATGTCATTGGCCGTCTGTCAGTTAAGCCGTCATGTTATTGGCTATGATGTCATTGGCGCATAATTTTTGCTTAAATTTTATTTACCCTTAAACAGCCCGGTAAAGTTTCACTTGATAAGGTCTAGTTTGTTCTACATAAAATACCAGAATCATTATGGTTTACGTTTTGAGAATGAAACATGAACTCAGCACATAAGTATGAATGAAGGGTTCTTAGGATAAAATATTTGAATCCGAGGCCCCATAAACACACCTATTTGGATAAACTTGAAACGGCATCTTTTTTCTGTTTTTGACCTAAACAGATATAATGAACCCATTCCTTAAACAACACCGACAGAGAAAACACACGATTATTTTTAAAGGTGTTTTCGAAATTACCTTTTCCATCCGTGACAGTTGTGTACCCTCTAGGTGAAAAGTTAGCAGAGGTCGAGGTAGAGTCACTGGGCGTTAAACTTGTCAGGATGAATGCCGAGACACTTAGAGAGAAACCACTTGATGGCGAGATAGCAGAAGTAGAATTCTAGAAACGGAGCGTCACAATAGCCTTAGTAAACGCCGAAGCACTTGGTATTGCACTTGCTGGGAAGTTAGAAGAATTAGTGATCGAGTTACTGGTCATGACACTGGCAGGAGAAGAGTCCAAGACACTTGGCACCCACCTGGTTGATAACTTAGCAGACGTAGAGGTTCAATCACTCACTGGTTGACAAGTTATAGGCGTTGGAGGTAGAGTTACTGAGTGCAACAATTACCGGGGTAGAGACCAAGATGATTGACGACTTTCTGCCTGACAAGGTGGCAGAGGAAGTAACCGAGGTACTGGGTGCGATAATCGTCGTGTTAGAGACCGCGACAATTGACGACGTCTCAGTTGATAAGTTAGGCGAAAAAGCCAAATAACTTGGCATGGAACTTGTCGGAGCAGAGCCCGAGGCACTTAACGACATACTGGTTGACAAGTTAGAAGAGGTAAAGGTAGAATCATTGGACCTAATACTTATGAGAGTGGAAGCCAGGACATTTGGTGTCACACTGGTTGACAGATAAGCAGTAGAAGTCAAAGGACTGGGCGTCATACTGGTCGGGGTAAAGGCCGAGACACTAAGTGAGACACTGTCTGACATAATAGCTGAGGTAGAAATTGAGCTAATAGGAGTCAAACTAATGAATGTAGAGGTTGAGACACTTAGCAGCACACTGCTTAACGAGTTCAAAAAAATAGACTTAGAGTTGCTGTTCTTGAAACTGTTCGAGGTTAATGCCCAGACGATTGGTGATGCACTAGTTGACAGGTTACCTGAGATAGAGGTCGGGGTTAACGGCGTCAAATGGAAAGATGGAAACGTCGAGAGATTTGGCGAGGCACTACAGTGCCAAGTTACCTGACGTAAAGGTCGAGTTACTGGGTGCCACATTGGCCGGGGTAAAAGCCGAGACACTTGGAAAAGCACCAGGTACAACAGTTACAGATGTAAACGCAGAGGAGGTGCTCGTCAAACGTGGGAGGGTAGATACCAAGACACTTGATGACGCACTGGCTGACACGTTAGTAGAGGAAGTTGTCGAGTTACTCTTCATAAAACTGGAGGCCGAGACACTTGACGACGCAACGGTTGATAAGTTTGCAACACTAGAGTTCGAGGTGCTACTCGTGAGACTGATTGATGATGGTGTCCGGGCAACTGGTAAGGTAATAGTTGAAAAGTGATCTGAGGTAGAGGTCGAGTGACTAAGAAACATACTGGTCGGTTTGAATGTCGAGAAACTTTGTGATACATCTGTACAACGTTTGACAATAAAGCAGAGGGAGAGCTGAAGTTACTGGACGTAATTCTGAACGATGTGTAGGTACACATACTTAGTGACGCACTGGGGAACAAGTTAGCTGAGGTGGAGGTCGAGTTTCTAGGTGTTGAATTCGTAGGTGAGGAATTCAAGACACTAGGCGATGCAGTAGCTGTCACGTAAGCAGGTGCAAAAGTCGAGTTGTCTAGTTTTGTCAAAATGATCGGGGTTGATGTCGAGACACTTTCAGACGACATGGTTGACAAGGTGGACGAGGCTGAGTGCGAGTTTCTAGGCGTCAAAATACTCGATGTTTCGGCCGAAACACTTCGTAACACAATGGTTGACAATTTAGCTGAGGTAGTAGTCGAGCTCCTGGGCCCCAAACCAGTAACTGTGAATGCCGAGAGAGTTGGCGAGGCAATCGACGACAGGCCAGTTGAGGTATAGGTTAAGTTACTTGGGGTAAAACTGGTCGATGTAGAGGACAAAACAATGCTAGCGGTTGATTTCGTGACATTTTGTAACGCTATGATTTACAAGTTAGGAGAAAAGGAACACGAATTACTTTGAGTGACGCTGATCACGCTGGAGGCCAGTACACCGGAAAAAACAAAACAATGAGAGTCTTTGCTGAGTTTTTGGGTGTCACACTGATTGAGGTAATGGCCGAGATACGTGGCAAACCACTGGTTGAATAGGCTGCAGATGTAGAGGTAAGGGTGGTGGTCATCAAACATGGCAGGGTAGATACCAAGATACTTGACGACGCACTGGTTGACAAGTTATCAGAGGAAGTGGGTGCGGTATTCTGAATAAAACTAGAGGCCGAGACATTTAGGGACGCATCGCTCGATATGTTTACAAAAGTAGAGTTCGATTTACTATTCGCGGGATTTGTTGAAGTTGGTGTCGAGACAATCGGTGACGCAATGGTTGAAAACTGAATTGAGGTAAAAGCTGAGTGACCGAACAACAAAATGGTTGGCGTGAATACAGAGACACTTGAATATGAGAAAGCGGAGGGAGAGCTGAAGTTAATAGGCGTCATTCTGAGCGATGTGGCAGTAGACATACTTGATGACGCATTGAAAAACAAGTTACTTGAGGTAGCGTTCGAATTGCCGTTTGTAGAAATGTTCAGAGTTGATGTCCAGACACTGTGAAGATCTGTTTGACAAGTTAGACGAAGTTAAGGTCGAGTTTCTGGGCGTCAAAATGCACGATCTGGCGGTCCATACACTTTGCGACACGGTGGTTGACAATTTCGCAAAGGCAGAAGTCGAGCTCCTGGGCCCCGAACCAGTAACTGTGAATGCCGTGACAGTTGGTGACACACTTGCTGACAGGTTAGTTGAGGTAAAGGTCAAGTTAATAGGCGTCAAACTGGTCGATGTAGAGTTTAGTTTGGTGACGCAATGGTTGACAGGTTAGTAGAGAAGGAGGCCGAATTTCTTTGCGTGACACTGATCAAGCTGGAGACCGATACACCATAAAAAGCACTGGGATTCTTAATTAGCTGAGCCAAAGATTGAGTTTTTGGGTGTCACACTGATTGGGGTAACGGCTGAGGTACCGAGCAAACCACTGGTTGAATAGGTAGCAGATGCAGAGGCAGAGGTGGTGCTCATCAAACGCGGGCAGGTAGATACCAAGACACTTGATGACGCACTGGTTGACAAGTGACCTGAGGTAGATAAATAATTGATACGGGGCAATGGAAGGACTAATTTATTTTCAGTATTCCTCAATCGATAAGAAGTTATTTCGTCACGAGATACAATTAGCAAAGCGCTGGTTGAAAAGTTAGGATATGTAGTGGTCGAGTTGTTGTTCGTTAAACGTGCCGTCAAACTTGTTGGGATTGATTCTGAGAGCCTCGGTGACGCACTGGTAAAAAAATGAACTGAAGTAGAGGTCGGGCTTCTAAGTGTCGAACTGCTCGGCGTAAAGGCCAATCTGATGGAAGCAAAAGAAGGTGCCCTTGGGGCAGCAGTGGTTGACAAGGCAGTAGAGTTAGATGTCGAGTTACTGGGCATCACACCCAGGACGGAGGCTAAGACTCTTGGCGAAGCACTCTTTGGCAATTTAGAAGAGGTACTGTTTGAAAGACTGCGTGTCACACTAGTCCGGGTATATTCTGAGACACTGGTCGAGTAACCGGGCGTCAAACTAGTCGAAGTGGCGGCCCAGACACTTAGCGACACACTGGTTGATAATATAGTTGAGGTAGAGGTCAAATTACTTTGTGTCAAATTGATCAATGTGGTAGCCGAATCGTTTCCTGATGAATTGGTTGACAAGTTGGCAAAGGAATAGTTTGAGTTGCTGTTCGTCAGACTTGCCGGCGTTGTTGCTGAGACACTTGGTAACGAACTGGTTGACATGTTAGTTGAGGGAGAGGTCGAGTTGCTGGGCATGAAACGAGAAGGTGTGAATGTCAAGACATTTGGGGACTCAATGTTTGAAATATAAGCAGAAGGAGAGGTCGTGTTACTGGGCGTCAAACTAATCGATGTGGCAACCGACTCACTTAGCGATTTAGTGGACGGCAAGTTAGCTGTGGTAGAGGTTGAGTTACTGAACGCCATTATTGTTGACTTCAGGGACAGGAATCTTGGCGATGTACTGTTTGATAACGTAGCAGAGGAAGTCTTGGAGTTACTGGGCAGGACACTGGGCAGGATAGAGGCCGAGCCACCAGGTGACACTCTGGTTGTCAAATTTATTGATGAAGAGGTCGGGTTACTGCGCAGTACGTTGATCGATGATGTGCCCGAGTCACTTGGCGACGCACTGGTTGACAAGTTGACAGAGGTAGGGTTTGAGTTACTGTTCGCCAACTGGTCGGGGTTAATACCAGGACATTTGGTGTCGCACTTATTGACAAGCCAGGAGAGGGAGAGGTCGAGTTACTCTGCGTACCACTGGTCGGTCTGGAGGCAGAGACACCTGGTGACACACTGGTTGACAAGTTAGCTGAGGTAGAGGTGGAGTTACTGGGCGTCAGACTGGTCAATGTGGCGACCGAGACACTTGACGACGACGGGCTAGTTGACAAGTTCACTGATGTATAGGTTGACTTACCGGGCGTTACAATGACCGTGGTAAAGACCGAGAAACTTAGCAAAGCACTGTTATCAGAGGTGGAAGTGAATGTACTTGGTGGAACACTAGCGGTAGCAAAGGCGGAGGTACTGAACCATGTACTGAATGAGACGTTAGCCAAGGCAGAGGTCAAAACACGGGACGTCCAGATGTTTGACGTAGAGACAGAAAAACCTGGCGACACACTAGTTGACAAGGTAGTCGAGGTAGAGGTCGAGTAAGTGAGCGTTAGACGGTTAAGGTTATAGGGCGAGACGACTGGTGACGCATTGGTTAACACGTTAGCAGCGGCAGAGGTCGAATTACTAACGAGGCAGTTCCTGAAACACTGATTAGAAAGTTAGCAGAGGAATATTCGAGTTACGTGGCGTCTCATTATTCGAGGAAAAGGCCAGGACACTTGAAGACACAGTGGTTGACACGCCGGTAGAGGCTGAAGTCGATTTACTTGCTGTGACACTAGTTAGGGTAGAGATGAAGACACGATTCGCGACATAGGTTGACACATGAGCAGCGGTTGAGGCCGTATTTTTGGGCACCTTGCTGGTAGAGGTGGAGGCCAAGGCACTTCTGAATACTCCGGTAGACAAGCTATAGGTAGTTGCATCTATTGTTGTCACTGAACCTTTTTTTTTTTTAAAGCAATTTCGGCATATCATTCTAATGAACAAAGGGCCTGGCTTAAATAAATACTTGATCTTTAATCGTAAGGCTTTGTTGGTTTTTTGTCCCAGTAACAAAGTACAAAAAAAAACGTCAATTACGTCATGAAATTAAAAGTTTGAATGTGCACCATATTTTAAATATTCTTAAAGCGATGATAGAGATGTGATGGTGAGTTTTGAGTCTGGTGACTACATAAGAAACAAGATTTTTCAATTAGTGACACGGGCGGCTCGGAAGAAAAAATCCGAGTGCGCCCAACAGGAGTCGAATCTATGACCTTCTGACTATAATCCTCGGTCGGTAAAGACACAGCAGGAAAAATAAATGCTGTAATAGTACTAGTTGACAGCGTTCCTTCTGCTCGTCCTCTTTGTCTTCAGATCTGACACGTTTTGCAAGTTCGACCCTTCCTCAATTTTGTTTCACGATGTTAGATGTAATGAATAAATATAACATCTTGGGTGACCAACATTTATCACCGATTCAGGGTTTTGAATCTTTCTTTTAGCTCTCTTTGCAAACAAAGCTCGACTTTTGAGCCCAACATTTACCTGAAAGTAATATTGAAAAAAGAAAGGGCCAAGGAGATCGATAAGGAGAGAGAGGTATCCTTTCTTCCAGACGTTTTTGACTTCTTCAGGAAAATCCGAGAACGTGCCTATACTAACGACGTATCAATTTGATTTGAAGAAGGGGCGCGATAACCATCATGATGAGGCCTGAGTCTCGGAGGTTTTAACTTTTTGTCGCAGTCTCCGATTTTACCATGTGCCAAGTGAAGTCTCTGTGAGGAACATTTTGCTTATATCAATCATTGGTCCACACTGGAATGCATGCTGAGACAGTATTAGTGCCACGTTCATCTATCTCCGACTTATTTCAAGTGTCTTTGCTACGTCCACGAACATCCAATGACTTGAGTACACTCGTGAATACTCACAATTCAATGCATGATTTCGAAATAGAGACGTCAATACCATTTTTGATAAGTGTGCAAGGCTCCTTTCTGTGTCTAGATATTTTTTTAAATTCCGCAGCAACTTTAAAGAAAAGTCTTTGATTTTAGCGCGAGTGGTTTCGAAAAGCATTTTTCC